AGTTGACTACTCGGTTGACTAATGACTATATTTTGACCTCGATTTTGACTAAATACTCTTGGTCAGTTTGGTATAAACTGTATACTTGGTAAAGTTACCAGCTTGGTTTGGTACCGAAATTTGTTGCGCACCAGACTAAAATAGTATGATGACCAAGACGGTGTAAACATTTTGGTCTACTTTTGTAAAGCCTTGAATTGACTTGAGTGCAAGTGGCTGTTATTTCATGAGTTCTCATAATAATATTTCATTCAATTTCAGCTAATTTCGTATCCTACTAAAAGGTGTTATTCTCAATTTACGAATTCTAGTGGAGTTCCACAACCTAACCTCAAAAAAATAATCAAATCAAAACAAAGTTGGTGATGTTAGTCAACTGAAGATTGTAAACATGCGTTGTTAGCTAAGACATTTGGTCTGAATTTAGTTAGATCTCCTTGGTAAGCATACCAACTATCCATAGGGGATAAACGGTACCCTCAAAGGTACCTACCCTCGTATTCCAAAATGGTAACAAAATTTTTCCGTACACTATGATTTATACGACGCAAAAATGAGGAATATGTAGTAGTTTTTTGTTAAAACCGAGGTAAAAATATTCGGAAATAATAAGATCGAGATCAAGATGATCCTTTTTCTTGTTCCATTGTTTTCGAGATTGTTTTTCAAGAGACATCAACCATCAGGTGTCAACCTTTGAAACAATGAGTAATTCAAAATAATCCATTTGAGTATTGATAATTAATGTCTCAAATATGACACAAAGTACAGATTTGCTCATCTACCTATAATGATGAAAAACAACACCTATATATATATACCTGCTAGCGGATAATTGAAGTACCTGGTGATTCATGGGTTCCGCCCGAGTTCCGATTATACCTAGTCGTTGAGAAATGAAATCTCAACTTTAATCATCTTAGCTACGATTTTCTTGCGCAATAATGCGAAATGATGAAAAATATTAGCGCGTATATGGATGTTTCAACGGGTAATAAAAAGTAAACCGTTGGTTGAAACTCGATTGAAACGTTGAAAATCGACTGACAATATGGAAAGGACATTATTCGTCATTATTGTTATTGTAGCCGAGATGACATTGCAAAAACTTCGGCAAAAACCGATGAGTTGGAACGGTGGTTATAGGTGGTCGAAAAGGTGGTTATCTGTGGTTATCTCCGGTTATCTCGGTGGTTTTAGGTCGAACCTCAGAACAAGAAACCCCATAGAAGGAAAACATAACAAATATTCTGATACTAACATGAATTCGCACAATAACCATAATCACAGTTTAGGGAATATTCCCTAAACTGTGCCATACTATTAATTCCCAATCACAATCAGTGTTGTCATACCGCCTAAATTAAAAGTGATCAATGTCCCGTCATCTTCAATTTTTATATATTTTTATGAATATGCATTTATTTATTTGTTGCTTTGTCATATTAGATATAATAACAATTCTGAAGAATCAATCCATAGTGATTCATAAATATCTGGTCATCTTGTCGATTTGAAATGGTGTCAATCTGTGTCAATTCATTGGTGTGAGTGACTGATGTGACGCATTAGTCCCAACACGCCCATTGTCTTTGAGCTGACCAATCACACTGCAACACTGCATTATAGCAAGGTATCAGAGAGAGATAGCTACAGTTCGGGACTAATACGTCACGGCTCCACCTTCATATCTGGGTTCTTGAAATATCGAATGGAACTTACTGATTTCAAAACGCTATAGATTCGATTCCCTTCAACTTCAACTCATAATATTGATTGTACATCTCGCTATACATTTAATGTAAATCATTACTCATTGATTGAAAGAGATTTGGACGGATTTCATCACTAAGTGGTCTTCCCCATTTTGTGTCATAGCCGTAGAAAATAGTGTATAGTGATGTATAGTATTACCACGACTGTTACCGTTATTGACAATATTCTCAACAATTTTATTGGATAACAACGAGAATGACCATATAAGATGGCTAACAATAGTTTACTCTCTCACCATATTGAAACTTTCACATGCAAAGTTTGACAGAGGTATTTGAAAAAATGTATGATGAACGATGAATGTATAGTGCAAGCAATTATGTCGGAGAGACAATAAAAGTTACCAAACCTTGGTCATCTATAATTGTACACCTGGAAGTACACCATATATACTACACACTCCAATTCTTTTAGTTTTCACCTTGGTTTTTACCGAGGTTTTCACATATAAATAAAATAGCAGTTTATAAAAAACTATTTTATAATACAAAGTTTGCATATTATGTTGAATGATTTCCGAGATGATTCCTTGGTATTACTAAACAATTAATGTTGGATTTATGGATTTATAAAAGGCATACTCCTTCGGACACTCCAAGGGATATAAGTCGAAAGTTTATGAGGCCAATGGAGAACTTGATGTGAGAAATGATGAAAGTGACATGGAATGAGAACATTGGATGCCACTCATCTCATGATATTTTATAGTTTCAATCAAGGTTTCAATTTATTTCTAGATGAATTTTAATTAGTCAAGAGATGCCATTCATTCATAATATTCGGTTTGTATGTCGAATTCATCAGTTCGCCGTGGTACCAGCACTTGGTAAAGTAAATCGATCAAGAAAAATTTGGTATCCTGATGCTTGCCCATAACACAGTAATCCCAACCCGAGTCCCAACACAATCTGGGTAACAGAAAATAGGGCATCAGTAGATATTTCTGTTTTATTTCTGACAATCATTACTATTGCTTTGACGTTTTTGAATATGTTTAGAATTTCACTGAACCCCCAGCTGAAAACGTGACTTACCTTTCTATGAGAAGTTCAGAGAGATGTTTCTTGAAGTTATCTAACTGGTTCCGGGGAAAGGAATCACTTTTCTCGATGAAACGAATGAAAAACATAACAGCAGTCATAATCTCTTCCTTCATGTTCGTTCGTTCGAAATTACTCTCATCAGGGTTCAAATGAAAATTTCGAATCTACAGCTGCTGATGGAAAAGTGTCGAAACTGTTGAAAGATAGGTATAGTCTGAAACAAAGAACAGTTACCTATAGTCCATTACATTGTTCAGCATTAAGTTTGAATATTTACCAAGCAGGTATGAGGTAAAACTTTGTATAAGATGTGTAAACTATCAAATGTTGGGGCTTAAACTATTTAGTGGACCATAATTTTATTTCATTTTTGACACGGCAATGTCAAATTGACTTATGAATGAAAGACCTCATGAAAGATCAAGTGAAAGTTCCCTGACATATTTTTTCACTTTTAAATTCTCAAATTTCATAATAATTTTTATTGTATCAGTTTCATGCCAACATATGATTTTATGAACTTATGTTGATATTGAGCAAATCATTCGAATCCCCTCATTTCAAAAACAGGTTAGAAAGAAATACAAGTGAGGTAAGGCATGAGGTGAGCTAGCAGGTGAGTGTCGAAACCGTACCTACTACATTGTTCAGGCCATAGCTACTTCAAACTTACAAGAAATTATTCAACATTTCACAATAGGAAATCCCAATATTGACTGAGTACTTCATATTTGCACAAAAATTCTGGTTCATCTATCTCGTACCTACCTCGGACCTACCTATCTATACCTGTGTAGGTAATAATAAGGTAATAATCATAATAATCTCAGATAATCTCATATAATTATTATTTTCTTTCAGCCAGACTCGGCTAGACTTGAGCTCCAGGATAAGCTGGTTCTTCCTGATTTACTAGTAAGTACAGGCGCAGGCGAAAGATTTGATGATGAATATGAAACTGAAGCTGTCAATACTGACTCACAGTCAAGAAAGGACTAAGAAATAATGAATGTGGTGCCGATAATTATTCAAATATCCACTAGAATAAGTAGGCACATTTAAACAATTTTTTCCATATCATTTTGTTTAATGTGTGTGGTACTGGTTCTAGCAGATGCGGGTGGGTCGTTTATTTCCAGCAAAGCTTTATGTGGGACAAGCAAGGGGACAATAAGCTCGGGGACAAGTTACGACAAATAACTAGACTGTGTGCTTTCTTGATCAAATGGTAAGTGCACGACCTACGTAACCAACTGCTTATTCTCGAGCTTATTCTGTTCTGATGAATCCGATGTTCATAATAATTAATGTGAATTTACTAAAACCAAGTCTATTTCTGAATAGACGAAATTTACTAACGGCTCCAAATGGAAGTATTCTAGTCCTAGAGTCTAATAACAATCATTAACAATCTCGTAATAGAAATTTACTGACGTTATTTTCTGATTACTTTCTCAAATAGACAGCAGGAAATATATACTTGGTCATTCTGAAACCTTGAAACCTACCTCAAACTGTTCCGAATGTAATTCAGTGGCACTATTAAAATGTTCAACATGAATAGAATCGGTTTTCGGGGTGATTTTTATTTAACACGCACACAAAGCACGAACAAAATGAAGGCGCAACACAACACACTCGAAGCGAAAAGCAAACTGGCAAATCATCTGTTTCTTTTCTCTATTCTTCTTTTTTTTGCTCTGCTTCAGTGTGACAAGCTGACAAGCAGGATTGCCAACGATGCCAACAGAACAGATGATGATAAAAATCATAGGACACAAACTAAGGACATGAATATTCAAAACGGTCATGTGTCATGTGCCTCAGACTCAGACAAGTTTGACATGTGACGTGCTACGTAAGGTTGAAATAAAAGAATGAAAAAAAGAACCCTTCCTTTATATCAAGGTGGATAAATTTAGTTTATAATATATAACTATCTTAGTTCCACGAATGCATGTAACACAGATGGATAAACAGGCTCACTAAATTTAAACACCACATACCATCAGATAACCTTGATAAGTAATATGAGTTCTGTGCCTTGATCACAGATGTGACATACTGAATGTGACACATGGCACATGGACATGTTTTGGTCTTTTGGTTGTTCTTAATGTTCTTTGTTTTTTGCTGGATGAAAGGATGAAGATGGTGAAGTGAAAAGTGAATAGTGAAATAGTGAATGGCTGATTCGATTTTTCTTGCAAACATGGCGGCTGCTGCTACTACGGTGGTTCCTGTAGAAGTAGTGAATAATAATGGAAATCGCACGAATTTGGAGAAAATTGAAAGGTGAGCTTTGCCATTACAACTTTTATCTAGTTGTAGTAATAGTGATACCATTTCATTTGTGGAGGAATATCCAATATGAAATTCATGTTCAAATGGACCTGATCAATAATTTCCTTCCTGCCAGTGTCATTTTGGTTTATGAACTAGGGTTTAAATCATGGAGAAATAGCTAGGTGTGTTACTTTTCAGCTTTTTGAATGAATCTGTGTACAAGGAAATCTTGGAGAGTTCCGCGAACTATAACACAAGACTATGCATAGAGAGGAGAATGCGATTACCTTTCATTGACGCCCAAACTGGTATAGCTCAGAACCATTCCTCCCTATTCATGAACCGACGACAGCGGCTGCCTGGGCTTTTCCCAGGACAAATATATTCTTATCCCCGTCAAAGATGGAGGAAAAAGAGGAGGCAGTATTTGACTATGAATGCAAGAGCTTTTGCCAGAGCAGCAGATCATTTGATGGAGGGTGAGGTAGATATGCATAGCATTTCTCAAATTGAGAACCCTGCTTTGCAGGATACTGATAGCAAAGATAGCCAATTACTGAAAGATGAAGTTTCCAAGGTAAATATTTTGGGCTTTAATCTTGCTTGCAAGGTATTCTTTTCATCCATGTTTCTAGGAATGGTTTTATGATGAAGCTGATATGTTGGAAATGGATGCTTATGATGAACCTGATGCAGATTCTGATTTGGATTATGAGGAGACTTATTCTAAAAGAAAAAGAGGAAGGAGAGGTGCTGGAAGGGTATGTTTTCATATGATCATTGATGTTGTAGGTACTCTTTTTCATGTGTGTAAAAACAACTGTCTTATCAACTTATCATCTTTATTGCCTCACAAAATTGATGCTGCAACAGCAGCAGTCACTCTGAAGCTGCAATATTGTAAATATGAATTATGACACTACCAGAATGTTGTGATGAATCACTAGGATAATCACCTTTTATTATCAATTATTATTAGGTAACATAAGTATTTTCTTCACTCATGAAAAATGTATGGAGCCTTGAAAACATTCTTTGAACTGAGTTGATTTTTTAGGGTCGTACTGGTACAGACTCTCCTAGCACCCCTGGAAGGAAAAAAGGAGCATCAGGAGGTGGTAGGGGAAGGAAAAAGGCTGGTCATAGCTTTGATCCCACACCTGGGGATCCTGATAAGCCATTTGCCTGTGAACGTATGTTACAAAACTTTTCTGATTATCTGGGTCCTTTTCATACTAGCCAAAACAGTTTTTTTTTGGATCATATATATTTTTGTTGAAACCAGTAGATATTTCAATTTATTTTCCCAATTGAACCACTATTTTATGTTTGCAGACATATTATATTTTGATTGAATTATTTTTTTCTCTCAATCACATCTTTTTTATGTTTCAACTAATTAGTGATAAACCATTAGATACTTTTTTAAGTAATAAAAAGGATTCAGTGCTTGAGCATGGAAAATGCAATAATCCCCTATGGACATAAAAATAATTAGTAGAAAACTTTTAGAGATAATGGTGTTTTTAAATGCTTCATGCTTTAGAACAGCTTTTTCTTGTTATTGTTCAGGCAGGGACTCGAACCGAAAATAAAAATTCAAAATTTCCTTTTTTAAATCAAATCTCATGATGGTTTTGATAGTTCTTTTTCATGAAGCATAGACTTAATTTGAATAAATTTAAATTGTTAATCCTTTCAAAAACACATTAAAATTTTGATAAAATACATCCCTTGATTATGAAAATGCTTCAGCATTGATACATTTCAACCTTGGATATGAATAGAATAAACTATTTTATAAACAATGCAGGTTTCTGGTATCTCTGATCATTTGAACTACATTGAAACATTCATTATCATTAGTGAACAAATTGAAAATTGTTAAATTTCCAAATTACCTCAATTTATCTATTCCTGAATTATTTATACCTAATTAAGTCATTGGTCAAGTTTGGTATTAACCCCTTTGATACTAATAAATGAATGTTTTTTTTTTAATTGCTTGGAAAAATCTTCTTTGGAATTGATTTTTTGATAGTTCTTATAGTCTATGTATTCTATTACCGTTATCAAAATGTGGTTCTGAATTTCGGTTCGGGTTCAAACCACCCGGCGCTTGGTTTCAATTTATGTATGACTATATTTTTCTTTGAACATTCTGGTCCAGGTCCATTATCTAACAAACTCGACCTCTACCGCTTTCAATAACAATTCTAATTGGATATGTCTGTTGTTGAATTTTTCGGTTCCAGTCCCAAATTATAGGTAGAAAAATGACAATCTTCTGGTCAATCCTTTAACATTTAACCTTGGTGTAAACTTGCTTTGTTTCTTTTGCATCATTGAAAAGATACTAATATTTTGAATTGAAAGATACAGGTGGTCTTATTTTCTCATTACAGTAATTTTCTTTCATGTGCTCCAAGAGATGAAAAAAAAAATTGAGATGTTGTTAACAATACTTGAAACGATCACTAGAAAAAATCAGCCAAATTGAGATTGTTGACCTGGTTCACAAGCTGACAAAAAAACCTTTAGAATAGTAGATGAGATTTAAAAAAGTTTGACAGCTTTCAAGAACTCCGATAGGTGGCGTACGCTTATTTTCTATCGCGTTAATTCCTACATACATGTCTTATAGTGATTACATCATTTAAAATGTGTAAATATCAAAATATAAAATTTGAGAGTATGGAAGGATATAATTATGTTGAATATTAGAAATCAATGATGGACATAATAGGAATCAATAGGACTAGAAGAAGTTATGTGAATAGGTAGGTTCATTTCTGCAAATCAATACATGTTTCAAATGTGGAATCAAACCATCAAGGAGGCTATTTCATCACTGTTGCCTGTCAATCTACACTCACCGGCAAAATAATCGATCCATTCAAAATATAGATAAAACTTGATCAACGATAACTTTTCTCCTTTTTTTATTTGCCACGATAACTGCTTTTTTATGAAAGTTACAAGGGTTTCAAAAAAAAGTTACATTTACACATTTTGGTGATGAAAAACATTTCAAATTAAGCAATGATGAACATCGACGTAACGAATGAAACCTGAAAATCATTTGAAAAATGGTAATGAACTCAGTACGACGTTTTTCCCACACGTGCACGAATAACTGCTGCAATTCATCTTGGCATGCCCATTATCAGATTTTGAATATACACCTGATCGATTTGCTGCCATGGTTCAATTAACACTTCACTGAGTTGCTGTAAATTTGCTGGAGCTGGTAAACGAGATCGTACTTTTCTCCCGAGAGCATCCCAAACATGTTCAATTGGGTTCAAGTCGGGGCTTCGAGGATGCCAATGCATTACTGGGAGTTTAACATCGGCTAAATACTCATTCACAATCCTTGCAACACGCGGTCGGGCATTGTCATGCATAAGCATGATATCGTCTCCGATGAACGGCACAACATGTGGTTCTAAAACGTCTCTTATATACCAATCAATTAATCAATCAATCAAAAATATGCTTTGTTGTCTAAGAAAAATTACTTATACAACAACAACAACAAAGCGTTAGATTATACTATCACAAATAATGAGTTACCTGATAAGTAAGTAAAAGTAAAATACTATAATAATTATAAATATTGGTTTGAAAGCTGTCATGGATCCCCTTTCCACTATGACTTAGTCCGTCTTAGCTTCAAAACTCACGCCACCCCACACCATTATCGAACCGCCTCCGTAACTCACTCTTGGCGAAAAATAGTTTTGGAGAAAACGTTCTCCAGTTCTACTGTAAATAGGGTATACGCGTGTGAAAATTTTACACTGGAATATATTTTTGTTCCATTACTCATATGTATAGATGTCGAATTATACATTCGAAAAACATTATTAAGCACCGAACATTTAATAATTTCTGAATGAAAATCATAATATTTGCAACTTTCCGACCAACAGCCGAACTGCAGCGATGATTTCCGACTGGATGTGGCTGTTTTTATTTGACATGTCAAATATTCATGTCCGAAAGATTGAAAATGAAAATAATATAAGAAGAGAAAGTGAGGTTATGATTATCTGAGCTTGTAGTTTCCATAATCTATCTCAATTATATGATCTCAATATTCTGAAGAATAATAACTGAATAATAAGCAAATATCTACAATAAGAATGATCAAACAGGACTTCTTTTTGCATGTTGTTTCAAATATATATTACCACCTATCAATTTATATCTCATATAGTTTTCCATATCTTCTTCAAGCTGAAAACGAAATCACATATTATATTATTCTCCTAATAACATGAGGAACATAATCATTGATATTGTATAATGGGTTTCACTAGGACATACTTGAACGTATACTCACTTCGAAATGGTCTTCACAAACAAAGCCTCTGGTTTTCTCGGATAAATCATTTCTATTTATGGCTTGCAACCATAATTTTCTTTTCTCTTTATTTCTATCACTCGATCCCACTGGCAATGAAAGGAATATTTTTCCTGGTGATATTTATGTTGATGAAAGGCATTGCGGCACTAACATTAAAGGGTATTTGGTATAAACATTATCATTTTCCATTTTCAAATTTCAAATTTCTGGCGTTTAAAACTGTTTTCTTCTCCTACCTCTTCTTCTTCTTTTTTTTTCAATCTGAATCTTGTCATTCTGTCGCGCTAGTCTATGGCTGTGCGGCCTAATACTATGACGTCATAATATTAGTGATGGCCACTAACCCGTTTTCCTGTGACTTCATATTTAGCCTCATTTAAATGAAATTTTTTAAAGTCACAAGCAAATTTGAGATTAATGAATGATATCCAATGTTATTATAAGGAAGAAGGAATATAATTTCGATTAAACAAAAAATCATGCGTATTCCTTATTCTTTCACGTCCATCCGGTGATCTGAGACAAAACCTTGACTCGTCGGTGAATAGGATATTGGTCCATTGTTCATTACCCCAATATTCGTGTTCCCTAGCATATCTGAGGCGATTAACTCGATGATTCCTCAATAACTCTGGACCAGCTGCAGGTCTTCTTGCTCGGAGTCCAATATCGGAAAGCCTCCTTCTCATTGTTCTATCGCTGACTTGAACTTGCCTCACCTCCACTAATTCGTTTTTCAATTGGACAGAAATAAGTCTTCTGTCCCCCAAAACTCTTCTTTTGAATACACCAAATTCACGAAACCGTTTCACAGTCCTTTGCACCCTGGATCTTGAAACTCCCAAAGCATAATATTGTGATCTACCATCCTGCACCAAAGCAATAGCTCTCGCAGAGTCTGTTGCAGAATGATCCATATCTTATTCAACCATTCGATGATTAATACAAGCATACAAATTGTCAACTGACAGGTCTGTCACAGCCAGCTATGCAAAAAATGTCTTGGGGAACCTTGTTATTACCATAGAAAAAAATGTTGAAATGTAACGTTCTTCTGAAACCCTTGTAACTTCCACAAAAATGCAGTTATCCTAACAAATAAAAAAAGAAAATGTTCTTAATAAACGTAGCTTGATGATTGACTGAAAAATTACAGGATGTACCAGCTTAGCCACTCCAGAGATTGTTTTAAAATTGAAGTAAATGCACTTTTTTTGAAGATACGCTCATTTCTTGGGATCTCAACATTGTGTGTGATTCTTTATGAATTTACCTACGGAACGAATCAGACATGAATTAACGAAGTTATCGTTGATCGAATTTTATCGATATTTTGAGTGGATCGGTTATTTGGCCGGTGAGTGTATTAGTAATTTTGCCTGGATATCGTCTGAAAAAATTGATTTTACTAATAAGTATCAACCAATATATCTATTATTTCATTTCCATAATATCCTAATTCGCCAGAAGATTATCATTCGAACCAATACACAATCGAATTCATAGGAAAATGAACTTTATCTCCACCATTATCAAGAAAAAAAAATCTAATCAAATCACAGCAGAGCAGACGAATTGGCATTGTTTCTTTTTTTTTTCTTTGGAAAATTTCAGTGTGCGGTGCGCGTTACAAGACCAGGCCCGGGCTGACTTACCACTACGGCCATTCTCATAAAGAGGGCGCTAGCGATGAAAATTCGCGCGACAGTAACGCTCCCACCCCCACCGCCCAACCGGGCGGTGCCATCTGCCCGCCGACGGTGGGCGGCGGCCCAATGCCGTCCGCCTTCCCCGGCCTGCAAACCCAGACGGGGCAGCCGGCCCCGCCCATGGGCGGGCCCATTGTGTCGGCACCGCCCATGGGCGGAGGCGGAACGCTGTGCGCGTCGCCGCCCAACGCGGGGATCGGGGGGGACCCTCAGAATGGCAGCAGGCAGGATCAAGGACAAGTGTACCAAGATAGTTACGTTTCCTTTTTGAACCAGACACCCGGTACTGCCTTTTTGAACTTTTTTTACTTGGTCGTGTGTAAATGCACGCCGGCATGGGCTGGCTTTGAGTTGCGAACGCGTATTTCCGAACCCATGTGCAGTACAGAGCGCCGCATTCTACTCTTTGTTCTGTGCTGCACAGTGTTTTGTAGTTCAATAGGGCCCTTGATGGAAATTGACGTTAAAGTTATAGGGTCCCTTGATGGAAATTGACGTTAAAGTTATCTTAACAGGGTACGGACAGATCATAGCTGCATTCTTTTTTGATGATCTAGAGACTTTAATTTTGTCTACTGGCTGTCACGTCGCATCCATGGGAGCTACAGAAAATCATTCAAAATTCTAATACTAGGTATGTACAGGGTATTTACTTGTTGAGGAAGATCATATGGCGAACGAGTTTTGTAAATATGATCCGATTCTATTCCAAATTGGACGGTATCTGGGGTTTTCCGGAGTTGGAGATAATGATTGTTTCGTCAAACTTGGAAAATTCAAGATGACGGATCCAATATATAGCGAAAGAAATTTCTAATTATGATCTGATTCTATTTAAGATTGGTATCTGAGGGTTTTCGGGGTCAAACTTTATGAATTTTGGTCAAAATTGGGAAATTCGAGATAGCGGATGATATGGTGAACGAGTTTTGTAGTGAAAATCCGATTCTATTCAGAGTTGGTATCTGGGGGTTTTCGGGGTAGGAAATAACGATTGTTTCGTCAAAATTGGAATATTCGAGATGACGGATCCAATATGGCGAAAGACATTTCTAATTATGATCTGATTCTATTAAAGATTGGTATCTGGGGGTTTTCAGGGTCGAACTTTATGATTTTTTTGACATTTTCGCTTGGAAGTCTCGAATATCGCTGAAGGGTGTGTGCAGCAATCTCTCACAAAATAGAAAACAATTTCGAACCAAATTGTAGGTCACTGAAGTTGATGAAATTGATTGTAATCAGCCAAGTACGAATTCTGTATGATGATGTTTTTCATGAAAATATCACGAGAAATGCATTGGCTCCAGATCCTACCTCTAGTGGTATTCAAATAACCACTGCTCAAAACTGCACTTGTATACTTGTAACATTAGTTTATATAATTATTACTCTACCACAAATTGAAAATATGTAGGATGCAAGAGTAAAAATAACGTGCCTATAAATAATTATACTGTATACCTACTTCTTTTTACTTTCATCAATAAATTATTTGAAAATGACTTTTTATTTAAGGGAGACGAAAAAATCATATGTATAACATGGGGGTAAAGTATATTCTATTCTTTATTTTCCTGCACATTTTACGTATTACTTTTTATCAGCCTATACTCTTCGTCCTAGACGAAGTTTTATACATAGTGTGATATTAGTCACTACATAAATTCTTCTTCTGATCATTTGATTATTTTGCACGTTGGCCTCCTTTTCTAAGAATAAGTTACATCACAAAGAAAACTATATGACTCATTTTTTTGACGAAAATTAGTTTCAAAGCCGTGGTTTGTCGTGAAAATTGACCATCAGGCACCTCCATCAGTTTTCTTCTATCTATTCACAAATTATTGTGATTTATTTTGCACGTGCTCTGAATTCAATTGGAGTATGGAAAGCATTAGATAGCGTGCGCTTTTACGAACCCTTGCGCGTTACATACTGGTATGTGGCAATGAACTATGGTAGGGAGTGCCAATATCCGAGATAATGAACTGTACTGCACATGGGTTCGGAAATACGCTTTCTGGTCTACGCGGTAGGAGTTGTTATGGATAATAAATCGAATGTTTTGCTTGAACTATCAAAACGTAACGTCTCAAGAGACGCAAAAGAGTTTTTTGAAATTATTAAATACTTTGATTTCTTGCAGGAAACACCAAAAGTGAATATAATATCAGGAAGGTTTTTCAGACATCTATATTTCTCGTTCAGATCTTTGAAGATGTCAACATTGATAAACTAGCCAGGTGGCCTATTACCTTATCAGCATGATCACCCTGCATACCCATTAGAATGATTCTCTAGAAATAAATCAGTTGAAATCTTTCATATGAACTAGAGTTCCTAAATGTACTTGACACTGCAGTTTTGACGTTTTTTGTATATTAGAGTACGGACACTATGACAAGCACTGATAATCAGACATAACCACGAATAAATTGATGGAAAAAGTGGGAACTGACAGTACACGGACGTACATGACATGAATTTTATAGGTTTGACAAATTGAGAGAATTAGGAGAAATATGCAAGTTTGTGCATTTTCCAACTGTGTGAACACGGGAAATCCATTCACTCTATTTGAATCTCCATGGAATAACGTAATTCTATTAAAATGGAAACAGAATATGATACGAAATAAAAGTATGTTTCATTGGTTGAAATTTATCAGTTTTCACCCCATTCTGAAATTTTGTGATGAAAAAAATATTCGACTGAACGTATATATATATACCTACATATAAGAGACTCATTTCATAGGAATAGTATATGTATTTCGTTGGTATATATGTACATACCAACTTGTTATCGACCCCCATTGAGGTCCTTCAGCCTTATCATTCAGTATTTTGAAATGAAATAAATTTCTAATCAATTTATTGTACCCTTTTACCCACTCGAGGAGACGCTATGCGCTCTCATACGAAAATCAAAGACAGAGAAAGATATATGGATGTACTCTTCCCAGGACCTGTGGAGGAAGGAAGATGCGAGGATCCTTTATCTAAGTGAAACACATATTCTTGTCCTTTTCTGGCAAAACATATGATTTGTTTCAAAATCGTTAGTGGTTATTTTTGATTGTCACTGCTTGTCTAGTGTCCTAATATACAAAAAACGTCAAAATAGCAGTATCAAGTACATTTAGGAACTCTAATATGGACAAGTAAATGTAATTGTGGAAGATCTATACTTGATTTGTCTACGATGTACCATACCTGTACTGAGAAAAAAAAATAATTCACAAAAAATCCAGAACAATCTCATCTCAGCTGTGGTGGGCAAGTACGATAATACGACCTTCAAATGTTATGTTGAATTCATCAATCTTAGAAAGATGTTTCGTTTCGATAAGTGACATTTAAACTTTCTAAGCAATGTGAATATGAGAATTGGAAAATTCTTCTAGGTCTAGCCACAACAAATTTTGATTTTATAATGAGGGTAATCTAGATAATGATGATATCAACCATTGAACTTTAAATAGAAAATAAAAAGTTTGGCAGTTCAATGCACAAGAATGAAATTTACTTGTGGATCAATGTAAATCAGATTTTATTGAGGAAGAGGAACAAGTTTTATCAATACAAAACCAAATGATTGGCTAAAACTACTCATGGTTCTTGGTTGAAATAATCAAAACTTCACATTTAAGATATTTAGAAAAACAAAAATCAACTGAAACAGTTCTATTTGAATCTAATGAACTAAATATGTATATTTATCTCTGTTCATCATAGTCTTGTAAGTAAAAAGGATAAATGTACACTTTGTGCAGAAACATTCTATCAATTCCTTTCAGTGCAATTTCTTCGGAGTTCTCTCAATTTTAGTGGTTCTAGCGAAATATATTGTAAGTAATAGCTCAAATCGTGCAGATTTAACTTGAAAATCGGTCCATGCCAGAGTGTATATAGACACGACTCCTTTAATTTCCCTTAGTTCTGAGTGTTTCTTGCATGCATGTGTAGTTGGAATGAAGAGCTCTCTGTAGTAATTTTTCACAACTTTATCGTTTTCTTTTTCACGAAATAAGTACTTTTTAACTGGGTAATGATTAACCATCTCTTTTGTACAACTTTATCTGGCACTTTTCATACGGTAGATAACCTTATTTCCTAGAGACCTTCTTCGTGAATGTTTGTTATATCAACTGTTGCTTCATTGGTTGAAACACATCTACAGATAATTGAATATGCACAGAGTATTCCAGAAAATGCTCAACCAACGTGTTTTGTATACTTACAGGAATTTAGTAACAAATACAAGATCATGATATAAATTGAATCATATAAATAAATGGAGTTTTGCTGAGATTCGTTGCTGTGGATCGAATTCTTTTAGCGCCCACTGGCGACATTTAAGTTAACTAAATTATAAGTTCTCAGTATATCATTGTTGATTTTTATTCATTGAACTTGGGCACAATGTTCTATGGGGCTGATATTCTGGTACATCTCATTGTAGTTATATTTTTAGCATTATACCACACGTGTTGAAATCAAGCTAATGGGAGGCTCTGCTCCAAGTTGCCAACCTAAAAACCTCTACCAATGTAGAAGGAACATGATGGAAGTTTGATTACTCCAATGGCTTTATTCTAATGAAATCTGATTGTAGGAGTCTACACAGCTTTCTGATAGGAGTAATTCCGAAAAAAAATAGTTCTTTGTGAATTCCTCCTCTTGAAAATCATGTTGGTGCATCTGCGCGTCGTCAATACTGTCGATGCTGTCAATCATATATCTACTATTTCTATATAAGGACGAAAAGTGAAGGATGGAAACAGCTATATTGGTTTGACGAGTTTCGTACGTCAGGCATCAACGCCTATTAGTCGATTTCGTTACATATAGAGACAGAACTTGGTCCCGCTTTGAAGACAGCTATGTTTCATATATGAGTAGTAGATTGGTGTCAATAGTGTCGATGGTGTCAATAGTGTCACGAATAAAATAGTTAATCATATCATCCGTTGACACTGAACTATGAATACTGACCAAGGAACTCTCACAAGAAACGTTCAACCCAGGATGAACAAAAGATGGTGTAGAAACTCCAATCAAATCCCATCTGTTTTTCGGTCAAAGTTCTTGACCTACGGCCTACTTGACAGAAGGATTCTTTTCAATATCGCGGAATATTTGATATTTGATATTACTCAACTGGGCCAAAGATATTTTCATGGAGGATTTTCTTGTCAACCTGACGAGTACGCACTGAAGATGACGGTATTGTCTCTCTGCTCTCAGCTCTCTGCTACGAGAAAAATTGGAATACATTATTATATATCAAAAATAAACGACTAAATGAACAGAAATAATGTATGTGAATCAACATGATTTTCAACTAATCAGTAGAGGAGTTCACAAAAACTCATTTTCCTTCTGAATTATTTCTATTTGAGAGCTGAGTAGACCCCTAAAATCAGATTTCATCAAAATAAAGCCATTTGAGTAATTAATCTTCCATAATGTTGCCTCTATATTGGTAGAGGTTTTTAGGTTGGCAACTCGGAGTGAAGTCTCCCATTGAAATTCGAAGTCTGTAAATGTGTATATCAACGTGCGTGACTGGTAGACATATCTCGTTGCACAGTAACTCATCGTCGTATATTCTTTCTAGAATAAAACAAAAATGGAGACCTAACTCTATTACCGTATACATGCTACAGGTTCGCAGTCACGTGGCCGCGGTCGCCCGCCCCCTAACACCACCGCTCCTCCTCCTGGCCTAGCCGCCCCTCCCTCCTCCCAACCCCCTTTCCCGCCCATGGCGGTCCCGCCCCCCTCCCAAACTCCGCCCACGCTCCCGCCCAACTTGCCGCCGCTGCCCCTGCAAGCCCCTCTCCCCGAAGATACGCCCATGCCGGTGCTGGTGCCTGAAAATGGGCTGGACGTTGCCCCGCCCAACTTGGCGCCGCCCATGGGTGGGCCTCCCGACCTGCCGGGTCCCTCCTCCGGAGCGCAGGAGGGGCCTAAGAAGCCCTCGCCTAGCCCCTATTGCGATTTCTGTTTGGGTGACGAGCGAGTGAATAAGAAAACGGGTATTCAGGAGGAGCTGGTTTCCTGTTCGGACTGCGGCAGATCAGGTAAGGGCGCTAAGGTGGAAGATAAGGCTAATAGTTTGAAGAAGGGTCGGAAGAAGAAGGTGTAGGGTTGATTGTTGGAGGGTGGTCTGTTCACAGAGCTGTCATTTGGTCGAGTCTGAGATGATGTTTCATGATTTTTGACTCGATTTTATTTTGATGCTTTTCATCATCCAATTGTCAGAGAACTTATTTTCAATTGGAACTTAACACAATTAAGAATTGATAAAAAATATTTGCTTCCCTAATAATTCGTCCTATTGAGAAGGTACATTACATGCGTTGAACTTGATGCTTTTTGATTTTTTTCAAATTCGGGAAGGCTACTTGCAGGAATAGTTCTCTTACGCATAAGGAAATCAGTTTTATGATGGTAATTCTCACATTCCTAATACTAGAATTACATCAATATACGGAATACTCTTCAGATCTCGCTCCTCTTTGTCAAATCTCGCTTTCAGATGGCCTTAACACAAGTGATGAATTCAATGTTTCTACAAAGAATGATAGAAATAAGTAGATGGTGCTCGGCCATTTTTACGTAGGGAAAACTTGAGAGGAATCACTCGACTGCTCAATATGATCTCTCTACGTCACATCGGGTGGGACTTTTTTCCGCTAGATGGTGATGCTGCTATTCGCGATAGAAAATAAGCGTACGCCACCTATCGAAATTCTTGAGAGCTGTCAAAGCGGCATGTTTACTTTGTTTTCATTGATTCACATTCGTTTTTTTTTGTGCTTCTTGGTCATATCATCAAACCAAACCGCTCAGAAGTGTTCAAGTTGCTGCCGTCAGGTGGGGGCGACGTGTTATTTTCTATCGCGAATTGATGCTGTGACGAGTGGGACGAGTGAAAAAAATTGCAAATGGCAATTTCGGTACGCGAAACATATGTGAAAGTGGGTTTATTTCACTCAAAATTCGGAAAATTTGCGGCAATTTCAAAATTGACAGATGGCATAGCTGTGTAATGTCGCCATCTATTAGAAGATCGCCGAAACCATTGTTCTCGAGAGGCCGAGAAGAATTTCTGGAACAAAAGCGCATCAGTTGTGCTTATTTTCATCATTCTACAAACTAAAAATTCGACCGGATAGCCTTATTGGGAACTAAGGTTCCTTCAAATATCATAATTGGGATGCTTAGGGTCGATTGCATGATTCTCTTTGTTAACTCAACAAGGGATCAACTCTTTTAACGTAACTCTTCGATCAGTTGATCATGCTTTGTCATGAATAATTCGATGAAGAGTTGAGCTATGCTCTGATGAATGGATCAATTTTCAAAAAAATATTGAAACATGGACAACATTCAAATTCTCATTTAAATATTCATTTATGTACCTACATAGAAATGTGTTCTGAGTTAATATTCATTCATTTCATCAACAACAAAATCTCGCTCTTAGAGTCAAGATCTCGCTCGTTTTTGACAGCGTAGTTCGCTCGAAAAAACATTTGTCTGTGGCAACACTAGCGGGTAGTAGGTTATCCTAACAAGAGGATACAATTAGAAATTTCATGTTTCAAGCATCCATTAGTAGGTAGGTCATTTGCTAGAATTCTCGCTCTCGAAATGAGGAAGGTCCATATTTTGAAAATTTATCAGTATAGGAACGGGAAATTCTGTATAGCATACCTGGAGTCACAAGTCGTGACGCGATAAAAATTCTATTACCATTGACTACATAAAATTAATATAGTCAATGATATGTAATAGACCCGATTGTTTATCGAACCGTCAGCTGAATCAGAAAAAAAAAGGTTTCGTTTTGGTGTCCTTTTAAAAGGACGGTAGGCGTAAATGGGTTAAGACTTCATTGGCAATAACGGACAATAACGCATCTTTAGCTAGAATGTTTTGATCACATGTACGATCCAATGTGACAATTTCACTGAATCGAAAATGACAGTAACACTGTTTCTGTCACTCCGACAATTACAAACTAATTTGCGGTTTGATTGTCATGACAAATCATATTCCATCACCAACCACTTGATTTTGCGATTATATCATTGTTTTTTTCCCACACTAGTGGGGGAAAAATCTTTTCCATGGGCAATTATCCTTTATTTCACAAAATCATTCGGAATTATTTGCGATAAAACTGAAAAGTAAGCCTTCATATCATTGGAGTGTCATATTTCTGATCGATTCTAGATTTGTTTCTATAAATGGGAATACAGAAGGTTTGATACTCAGTGTTAAGTTTCAGTTGGATAATTTATTATACCTAGTCATACATTACATTGAAAATAGTCATTTTGAAAGACTCTAAAAGTGCATTTATTGATGTTTAGTTCCTATTTCCTCACATTTATTTATTTTGTTTGTTGATAGCTCTGTGTGAACATAAAAAGTCAACAGCATAATGATAATTGTTACAGTAATTTATATCAATGCATTAGTTGAATATGAAATAGATACGTAAATTGTATTGGAAGGCATGTAAAGATTTACGATTTACATGTAAATTATCATTTGTAAGACCAATAATAATTATGTATGTTTAATTCTTTCCTACTCAATTATTTACTACTGGACTCGGATTTGTTTTCAACAAAACAACCAAGAGCTGCCAAAAATGTACAAAAATCATCAATTAGGTTAAGAAAATTCGTGTTTCGGCAAATCTTTTGAAACTATTATTTACCCTGTGATAAAATTCCAGATTCTCAGTTTGACTTAGGCATACATAGTTTTCATTATTTCATTCTAAAATTCAAATTTATTCTAAGTTGGAAAATATACTTTAATTTAGTGCCATTGAAGAATGATTTGATTCCTGATTCTCCTTTTGAGAATGGAATTTAGCAAATTGAATAATTTGATAGATAGACTGCACTTACCAAATAATACATATAGGATAGGATATTGAAAATTCCAATTTGGATTGTCTTCCAACTTTGAAATGTGCATTTTTTATTGATTTCTATAAAATTATCATGTTTATAGGCCAGTAAATATTCAGTTCCTGAGATTTAGAAAATAGAACTAGAAAATACTGGGTGATAACTATATCACTAGCTTGCTTGCCATTGTCATGAAAAATTGAACCAATCACGGTCAGTTCTCTAAAAACGTTTTCAAGAAATAAATACACTGACCGGCAAAAAAAAACGGCCAGCAAATAATTAAGCCCTGTAATTTTTTTAACTGTTGGAAATGATTTATTATTCACGTCAATATCTAATTTTCAAGAGAATATACAAGTGTTTCAAGAAAATATGGAATTTTTCAATTTTCATTAACAATAATTCAGAACTATTCTCCAACGTTCTGCTTCATCATGTTTTGGATCTCAACAGAAAGTCCGGGAAGTGAGCCCTTCACGGTTGCCGAAAATGGTTTTTGATTCACGTCAATATCATCTTTTTAAGAGAAGATACAAGTGTTTTAGGAAAACTATGGATTTTTAAAATTATTATCACAAAATAATTCAGAACCTATAGAATAGAGCATCTTTGGGATGAACTCCAGAGGCTTATTCATCTTCGTCCGGCCTTGTCAAGGGCTACGATTCGCCCATCAAGGAGACTTCGAGGCAATTCCTCTAGACTGCTCGAGTATTTTTATCAACTCAATGCCACGGCGGTTGAATGCTGTAATGGGCTTGTATCACAAAAAAATTGTATTTCATAATTCGATAGAAATCACCCAAACTAGCTCAACACCGCAAACCGTTTCTTGCTGTGAGCTCCCTACGTTTTATAAAAAAATATTGAAATCCCCGATTTTTCGGACCTCTGAAAACGAGGCGATGATGTGACGTCAAAACCCTAATACTGAAACAAGACTATTCCAGACAGAGATGAATGATCCATGATTTCTGACAGAGTAAAAGGTGAGTTTATACATCAAATAAAACAAAATAAGGAATAAAAATAGGATAAAATAAGAAAGTTCAACATGGACATTTCCATTGAACCGTTCATACAAGAAATGAGTGAAGAATAAGAATTAGAATAAAATAAAAGATGACCAACTTTTATCTTTTCATTTTATTTTATTCAGAAAATGATAATGCGCATGAGCTAAATGAATTCTGTCACAGAATCTCCATAGAACATGAAACATGAAACGTCATTGTCATCAATGCCGTGATTGGATTGGTTGATTTCATAATCATAATTTTATTTTAGTCATCTGTATAAACAGTGGATTTCATTCCTTATTCCTTAAATGATCTTATCTTATTCCTTATTTTATTTCAATTGCTGTACAAACCCACCTTAAATTAGCGCGAGATCATAGTTGAAAGAATTAATTAGTTGCCTCAGTCTCCGTCGGGCGTTTGGTATTTTCTTTTAACTATGGCGTGATGAGGTTTCTACGTCATAAGAGGGTCCATTTTCAGAAAGTACTATTATTTATGTCCAAAAATAAAACATAGCAGTTAATTTTTCGATCGAATTATGTCGTCAATCATTATTTATGTATGAAAGGATCATTATAAACATGGTTTGAGTTAAAAGTTCTACTAAGGTGTACACGCCCATTAAAGCTTGACTCGATGAGGGCATACTCTTTATTGACTACATCAAGGAGGTCTGCTTTTTATATAGTAAGTAAGGTTTCTCTTTACTAGTGAGTGCTGATAAACAGGGTGGAAATTAGTGAAATCAATTTTTAGAAGTTTTTTCGAGTTTTTAATCGATAAGTTCATGTAAGTTCTACAAATTTGAAAAATCCATATACACTAAACTTGTATCTCCTGAAGATATCGACGTGAATATAAAACCATTGTGTTGAGAGGGGATCACATTTCAATCCAAAACTTGCTGAAGCGTAGTTTATTCACCCACTTTTGCCACAGGGCGTTAAGAAATTAAGCCTGAAATTGTTACTTTTGTTTTTCCTTGTATAATGATCAAACCATCAGTTTTTTATAGAACTAAAATACAGGATAATATTTCGAAACATGAATCTACGATTTGGTCGGAATTGCATCAAAATCGGATAAGAATTGGAAAAGTTAGAGGGCGTTTTTTTTGCCGGTGAGTGTATATTAATGATTCTTTGGAAACCAGAAGGGACAGTCAGATGTTTGAGTACACTAAATCTCCATCAGAAACGATAAAACTCAGTTGATGTATCATTTATCAAGGTAGTAGTAGGCTGGCTAGTAATCTCTACTCACACAGTGTTTAGCGATCCTAAGTATATTTTGTTGCAATTGGCGGCCAGTATAATAAACTATAGAAAATAACCAGGTACTTCTAATGGGATAATAAACTGAGATTTGTATCCCTTATAGTGATATGATATACGTACATTCAATATACAGGGTGTTAATCAATTGAGTGTCGATAATACGAGGTGTTAATCCTCGGGTGATTTTAAGAAGGACAGTTTATCTCAACATAATATCCTAATGTTTTGAGAAAAAAGTGATATTTCTATCATAATTTTCAATTACCCTCAGATATTTTTATGAAATTTCATACACACCTTCTCATCATTAAGGAGCATTTTTTTACGTGGGAGGTTTTTCAAAATCTCGACCGGTTACGTCCGTACGGAGTTTGAACTGAAAAGTTTTTAGAAAAAAAAATGGTACGCCACTGATTTTTCTGAAACCCGGAATTAATTTTGAAATCCCCATTCATTTTGGAGCAAATTTAGTCCCCAGACTTACGTTCATACGACGTACCGTTTTGACGTAAAAAAATAAAAACCAGAAGATGTTTTTTCTTCAGTTCATTGAGATAGTTTTTGGTATTTTGTTGAAATTTAGTAGGCACCCACCATGAGTGAAAACACATTTTGTTTCGGGACGAAAATCAATTCTTTAATTTTACCAGTGATGTTCACGAAGGCCTGATATTGAGATATTGTATGTATTGATATAAAAAAAAAAACTGTACGCCTCTGATTTTATCACCTTGTAGCTCAAATACTAAGAGGTTTAGAACATATGTTGATATGAAATTTTCTCCTTAAAATCACCCGAGGATTCACACCTTGTATTATCGACACTCAATTAATTAACACCCTGTATTTCAGCAAAAAGCAAGTAACATAAAATAAACTCGAATTATATAATAGCCAATATAATTATTTACTATATACTATATATGCATATATTTTATTTTTATTAGTGAGCAAATAACACAAATTTAGAAAATATCATTCATATTGAGATTCTCTAGATTCGAATGATTTTTCTATTTGATTGTTGTTGAACGTACACAGTGGTCCAAAATTGTCTTCAGATATTTTTTCATATTCTGAAACAAAAGAACCTAAGCTTTTTCTGAAACTTACTCCAGAACATGAATGATTAGGAAGACATGCATGCCTTTTTGAATGGTGGGCATAATAAATATATTTGAGAAACTGAAATTTTCCTTTCCTTGTCAAAAGAGTGTATCTTCCTTATTATCCACTTCCGGAAATGATTTTATTATGGAGAATTACTTCGCTTTGGGATGAATTTACTAATTTAATTAGCGTCAGAAATCTTTGGAATCAGTTATGGATCGCCGTGTACATAGTTTTTGCATGGATTTATTTAAAAGAAAAATTTTTGTTGTTATGTAGTGGACATAATTCAAATTCAGGTATTTGAATTGAGTTGTCAAGAACAGTTATTTTCCAAGGACTTCTTCCTTACAAGTTACAAGTGTAGTGATATTGTGCAATAAACAATGACATAAGAACAAAACGTGTTTGATTTTTTTCATGTGCCGAAGTACGGTGCACTTCAAATTGTGGCGATTTTTTTGATCACTTTCTTTGTTTGAATCTTCAATGCCTAGAAGTGTAATTGTTGGTATAATTCTGATTTGGATCTATTTGAATAACTTTGAAAAAAATTGACTTGGAAGATCACTGTTCTTCGGCACTCAATTCCTCAATTCCCCTAATATGTAGAAGTCTAATGAAGCAAAGAATAGGCGATTCAAAATAAGCGATACGCCCTCTTGTGAAAATTCAAGTGACTAATGGAAAGTACATTTTTCGAGTTTGAATTCTTGAGTAGAGTGTCTTGAATCATTATTGCTCGGTTTCACATGTTATTCATGAGAGGTTTATCACTGCATTTCACAGAAAATAATAATTTCAATCAGTGTAATTGAAGGATTTTTTTTTCAAATTTGAGATTGAATTCATCAGTTGCATTTTATTCCCAGAAGTGAAAAGTTACAGGACGAATTTAACAAAATGAAATCCTTACCTACTTAAAAGCAAAGCAGACATGTTCAATTTTTTACTACTAGGTAGATCAATTATTCGCCCATACATCCAGCTTTGAGGATTTTTTCTATTTCATAAATACATGTAGATGAATCGACTATACAATATCCAGGGTGAGTCATAAAACTATTGGGATATAGGCTAAGGGCGGATGCGGATTATTTGGACTAAAGTATGGCGATAGAACCGAATATGCCTTGACAAAATGTTGTGGAAAAGGATACAGGGCGTTGAAGTTTTTTTTTTTTCGTTTTTTGCTTATTTACTGTATGTATTGTTATGAAAATCGGCACAGAGGCATGATTTTATGCAGAAAATATCATTTTACGTATTATTATACACTTTGTTACAGGTGTCGCCACGTAAATGATTCCTGATGATGCACAACTGATAATTTTTATGACGAAATTTTTTGTTTTATATTAGAAAATATGACATAAACTTAATTTCTATGTAATATTGTTACACTTGTTTGAAAACGATATTCTCATCTGTTTCCAGAAAAATGCAATTAAACAGTTCAAAGTCTCGGAAGAGGATTTCAAATATTGATTCATTCATGAAGAGAGTGCTTTGGACTGTCAGATAATTGTTGCTGGTGAATAGGCCTTTTCATTTAGATGACAAATGACTATCTCTGTTTACATCTCGCATCCAACGACAGTGGCGGCCATTTTCACCGAAACACTTACACCATATTTCCATACTCCTCAGTAACGAATAAAGTAACTTTTTTTTGGAATTGAATTATTATAATACAATTAATACACACCAGGAACATAAAAACAAAAATACCATGTTGTTATTTTTGTTTCTCAATGACGAATGCCCATAGTGGTTGACACTATTGATATTTGACAGAACGTCAATAATACCCGCCATATTCGGAATGGCCAATCAGCTTTTTGTGTTGGAACTACAGCCAATGAAACTTCACCTTCGCATCACCCAATAAATTATTGGATCTAAAAACGAGCGCATGCGTCTTAAAAATATATCGAGATGAAAAGGCCTATTACATTTCCTGCCAGTGAATGAGTTTTGGTGCGAGTTTATAATCTATATGTCGGCGTCAATTAGTGAAATCCGTCATTCCCTGAAATGCCTAGTCAGTTCACGTATTGTCGGCAAACAGCGTAACTTCCATTTTCAGGCGTTACTCTGTTTGTCGGAGGGTTGAGGAAGGAAAATATCCTTTCTGCATATGCATAGGAAGGGAGACTATTCTTTCGCCTAAATGAACCTTCTTCCTAGAAAGTATATTTTTCAGAAAATTACGTGAGAGAACAGAAGAGACTACTGCTTCTACCTAAGCTGACTCGGCCTAAATGAACCTTCCTTCGTCATTACAGGGAATGCCTGAAACTATTAGGCAAACGGTGTACGACGCTGTTTGCCGGCAATACGTGAAATGACTAGGCATTCCAGAGAATGACGGATTTCACTGTTTGACGCCGACATATACTTTTTTATTGAAACGCCATGTATCTTTTTCCATAGGAATATTTTATTAAGGCATATTTGGTCCTATCTGTTATGGCTACTTATTTGAAATTTTCCATCCTTCACTTTCCGTTCTTATAGATTCAAAATATATACCTCTCATTTTGGTCCCATTTTTGTTGAGATATCATCATTTACAATGTAGTCACACTATAAATAAATACAAATCACATCATATCGCGAATATGATGCGCCATATATAGAAATAGTACATATATGGTTATGACTCATCCGGCCTGTATAAATTTCAAATATACCTACTCTGTGAACTTCAATATCATATTCAATCCATTTTATTTGCAATATTTATAGATATTTTACTACTGAATAAGAGCGAAATGTAAACTAAGGTAACGTCAAATTGGGGCATTTTTATTTGCGAATTTGAAGTAGTGAAACTTCATCTAACGAATATCTACTGAAAAGCACCCTCAAATCACTACCAACGAAAAGAAATAATACATAGGAAAAAGAACCATTTGAAAACAATGTACTGGCGTTGCGATCTTAAATTCAGTCGCCCATTGGTAGAGAATTGAGATTACTCCTGTTAGTGATCTGCCATATTTCTTCAAAATATTCAATCTTACCCCACTGGCGATGGCCATTTGGTTTAAATCATAAAGAACCATTATTATTATTATCATTCATTCTCTCTGTGAAGGAAGGTAAGTGAAAATAGGTTCATCAGATATTTGATTTTTTTAAATTTTGATTTCTGAATTATTTTTGATTGTCGAAAATAAACAGAAACGCCTATTAATTGAAATTTAGTTTTTTTTATGTTCAGTGATTCATAGTCATAGTACAATGATCGTAATACATATTCATATATGACACAGTTTAACAACTATATCATGATATATGAGGAGGGTTAACAAGGCTACTTATTTCGAAATTTATCCCAATTCCCAATCGAAATCTCTCATGAATTATGAAAAAATATTAATGTGAATTATTTGTGATTTTGAAATTTGAAAGTAAGATTAAGGTTTTAGAGAATATTAACTTATTTTTCAGGTCATCCCACCTGTTTGCAGTTCACGGACAATATGAAGATATCTGTCAAAAAATATCGCTGGCAGTGTATTGAATGCAAATGCTGTTCCATGTGTGGGAATTCTGATAATGATGTGAGTATAACTGAGATGTTTCTGACTTCAATCATTTCAGTTAGGACCTATAAGAAAGGAGACGTTATAATTAGCGATCTGAACCCCATTGGGGAAGTTTCCTTCAGAAGAATTCTTATAAAATAGGTTCGGAAGTCTCCAGTTTTATGTCCACGCCGTACAGAATGGGGACCGATTAAGTCCAAGTCGTTTTCATTTTCAAATTGAAGCAATTTCTAATTTTCGGGGCGGCAAACAGTAACGTACATTCTGAATCTAGTTTGAAAATAGCTGATGGTGAAGAATATAGCTAGCGAATAGCTAACGAATGAAAAACGATTGAAAAAAATTGTAGAAGTGAAACTGGTAAACAAAACATACATAACCACAAATGCACTCGGAGCAGGAATGCAGAAGGTAGTTGGCTTCATTCTGACGGGTTATGATTTTGTTATTTATGCATTGAAATACCTCGAATAGAGCTCGATCCTAAACGACCATATCATTGAATCAATGAATCACTATCGGCTACATTCAATGATACTATCCTTCCTAATTTGCTGTCATCGGTTAGAACAGAATGAAGTCGACACCCTTGGCTCCTTCCTCTTGTCGTACCTGTCAGTATTTTGAGTGGTGTGGAGTATTAGGCGCTGTTGCACGATATAAGCTGCAACTTTCCTAGAAAATAGATCTGTTTTATTAGGGAACGAATGCATTAGCAAAAAAACTTCATATATACATAATACTTGACGAAGTAGGATTGAAGAACCTATTATATCCCATTGCTGTTATGATAATATAGTTATTATGCATTCAAAGAGCAATTTCCGAAAATTTAGACATTGATGATGTCGGCAACGTTGTACTGGCACAGGGAATCGTATTTTAACTTTGTGTGAATGTGGATTTTCAGAAAGTAGGTCATAGAAATGGTGAAGGAGCCAAGTTCCTCTTTTATTTATTTTTTTCTGTGTGTCACAGTGAGATAAAGGAAACTTCCCCATTTGATCAGAACATTATCACTAATTTTGAAATCGAATACATGCTAAATCACTTGAGAATCCCGTCTTTTTTTTTTCAGGACCAGCTACTTTTTTGTGACGATTGCGATCGCGGGTATCACATGTATTGCCTGAATCCACCTCTGGTAAATCCACCAGAGGGTTCTTGGTCTTGTAAATTATGCATTGATGAATTCCACAAGTAATTCTCAAAGAGTACATTCAGATCGGTGGCAGTTTGTTTTATTTTAAAAGTAAATATAATTTTGTATTATTGAACCATTAAATCAAGATTGATTGGAATCATTGCATATTGTGATTCATAATCTATACAGTGTGTGAAGTGCAGAATGTTTTTTCGCTTCTCAAAGAGAAATTCTTTGGATTCAATTTTTTGTTGAGAAATAAGGAAAGCATTTTTAAAATAATTCCAGATGGGATAACATGTGGGGAACAATTATTGATGGAGATTCAAATTATTTAGGAATCACGTCGTAATTGATCAAATTCTGTTTATTGATATAGGAAAAATAAATTTTCATAACAGGAATATATACTGTCTGGAATATGTAATTTATCAAATTGTATTAAGCAATAATTTCAATCAATGATTGTAATTTGTAAAAATTCATTACTTAGTTTTGAGTAGATATAGCTATAGGTAATTATGGTGTAGGTACTGCACTAGATACTTAATGAAATTTAGTACTTAACTCATTCAAATATCTGAAGTAATTATATTGCAGTTGAATTTTTTTCACCAGTTCGTATTTAAATAATTCCCCCACTATTATTCGTTCAGGATTTTCTAAATTGATGCTTCAGTTTTGAGATTTTGAAAAATATAAACCTGCTATCTATGATGTATTACAATTTGCTCACAAAAATATAACATATTAACATTAATTTTTTTTCCTAATTAATTTTCAAAATAAGGTCATTCATTATTTATTTGGTTGTTAGAGATGAGTTTTTTAAATAAGGCCACCAGTTTTCGATTTTATCCAGTGTAATTCACTATAATGCTGATGAAGAAAATATTTTATGTTGTGACAATATTTTAAATGAATCGTATTTTAATGTGACAAAATATTTATTTTATCATTTGCTAGACAATATAATACAATTTTTGAAAATTGATGCTGTTTTTGTATTTTATTTATTATGGGCCATTATGATGATTTATTGGGAGGTTTCGATTCTCCTTATATTTGCAGAAATTTTTCTGTGACGGGAAAAAAGTTTGCCATTTCATCTCTGTTGGCAGGTTATAAAATGTCAATTTTCATTAATTACTTTTTTCCCGTGGGAAAAAAGTACTCACCTTTTACCCGGATATATATCACATATATATATACACTGTTGATGGCTTTTGTTGTGCTATAGTTCCGAAAAATGAGTCAATAATACTGTCTCCGAGAAAGAACTGCAAGTCCTTTTATCTTCCATTCGACTTCGCGGTTATGTAATCATTAAATTCGCAATTTTTTGAAATCATCACAGAATCAGACTGACAGAAGTGACATCAGATATTTGATTATTTCAAAAGAATGATAAAGATGCATACAACGCAGGTGTCCCTACTGTTAAAAACTTGAAATTTCACGTCGATAATTTTCAGATTTCAAAATACTGTAATATCTTCTCAATATCGATTCGTCCTTTCTTCTGTCACAGAGAAAAATAGTGTATCATACACGGGAAAAATATTAGGTTTTAGCTCACACAACCTGGAGCTAAAATCTACTTTTTGCCCTTGTATAATAAATAACTATTTTATTAAATTTTGTTCTCAGGTAATTTTCCAAATATTTCTATCATCGATCTACTTCGGAGGTTCATTTAGGACGAGTTTATATAGTTAAACTTATTCTCCTTTCATGCAGAAAGGATAGTGGGATAGAAATATTCATTATTTTAGCTTTTTTAGATTTTTGTTGTTACCTTATGTTATTTTTAGTTTGTAATCAACTTCCTCATACCACAATTTTATTTTTGACTGGAAGCAATGATGGAATAAATGTGCTATGGCTAGTAGACGCTAGTCCATCTTGGGATATTAAATTTGTGAAATTAGAAAACCTACTCGACCACGACGTAGTTCGAACGCCTCACACGTCTCACATCTCTTAATGATAAAGGTGTGCAATGGTTAGCGGATAAAAAAGTCCAATTGAATATGAAGAAAAAGTAAGGTTAGGGTTCCTATTTGTTTTTGTTAATGTTTTTCCTTCATTCTTGTGTCTTGTCAGAGATGTATAGAAATTCCGTTCATGTCATCTTATGAGGTATCCTATTAACTTGTGAAATTTCACAGGGGGCCATACAAGTATGTCTGGTAAGTCTGGAGCGTCTGAAATAAGCCTCAAACAAAGTCTTAGAAAGATCGAATATCCAAGCAGTGCAAAGGATGCTCTCAACAAAATAGGTTCGTTAAACAAACTACACCTCCCAGTCTGGAAATAATGGTAATTAATGATTCAATTTCAGTTGATCTAATATGTGGCCGTATAACAAGCATAAAGAACATGGATTTAGCCCTTGATCTTATGGCAGAGTTTGTATTTCTTGAGATTGACAGGAGAGGCCACAAAAGGGGATTCCCTTTAACACCATTAATAGAATTACAGCTTATAGAATTACTCTATGAATATTTCAATAATATGTCCAATGAATCTGCAAGAAATACAGTGTTTCTTTCCATCTTTAGTGGTACAACTGCTATAATGAGATTAGGAGTACTAACAAAATTGGTGTCTGTGGCAATAGCAATACCTTCTGCAACTATTTTATCATCAGCTAGTGCATGGATGCAACAACTAGGAAATACTTCACAAAACAGCTGCAAATTGGCAGAAGGTCTCATTCAAGATTATTTTTACTTTTATAATCCCAATACCAGTAGTATCAATCTTGTTCCCAGTATATCTCCACAGTTCACAGCAAACTTTTTGACTGCTGTCACTGAGAATTATTTCAATTTTACCAAGAGAGAATGCATATTTCCCCCAAAGGTATTAATGGAATCAGTCACAACATGGGTAAGTTGAAATAAATAACTATATTAAATCTACTACATCTACATCTCTGTTCAGATATTCCTAATTCCTAATGATTCTGCCTTGAGATTTTGCATTAAAATTACTGAATGAGTGTAGTAATGAAGGACAATCCAGAAATATATGCAGATAAAAAACACCTATTGTTGAATTAATTCAGTAGGTTGGTAATAGGCATCTCAAATGTACATTATATGTATGAAAATTCACAAATCAGTAAATACATAGCAATAAGGATTCCACTTGAATATTCATTAACAAGACTATGGCTAATGAGTCTGAAGGATAAGAATCTTGGGTTTTGTATTTTCCTTTGACCATATTATGAAGCTAGATAAGTATAAAAATTCTTCAAATATATAAACATGTATTCAAGGTATCAGAGAACCCTGGTTTGTGTATAGCAGCACAACAAAAACAGGCAGTTCTACCACCAGGTGCTATAGCCATGGAAGCCACAACCCCCATTGCAGGCCTCCTCAGATGGACTGTTCTAGCACCCATCAACAAACAAGACAGCCAGGTCTATGGGGACCTACACCTAGCTTTGCTGAACAGCATAATAGAAATTCCAAAAGTCACACCTCCTAAAGCTATTTATGCCCAACACCTGACTGGACCTATCAACCCTATTCTGAGCTATGTCAATGACCTGAGGAATAAGCAAGAGCTGAAGCTAGATCAGATCTTGAATGAGGACAACCTGCAGTTGGCCCTAGACAGATATGCACAGGCCATACAGGTTATTTACTCTGTTAATGCTGTGTATGGACATGTTGATGATTTGTTTCATCAGCTGAAGTTGTTGCCTTTCAATAAGTTGATGAGCATTGTGATTAGTACCTATAAGAAAAATAAAGTTATTATTTTGTAATGAAATTGGCCTGTTTTGGTGAAAAATTTCATTTCATTTCATTTGTACCAAACTAGTTATTGTCACACACCCTGTTCTTCTCATATTTTTCTGCATGTGATGGTGATGGACTTTTATGTCACAATTCATAATTTAGGGAGGTGTAATATTGCCAAAAATATTGACCAATCAAAGTGAAGTTCAATGCTTCCCTATGCATGGTTTCCTATTCTGTCTCCTTAGTTGGAATGGACTACAGAAGATAGAGAAGACAAGTTATTCTCATATACAAGTGATTCAGTTTTTTCCCAAACAATGAAGTGGGAATAAGTATTATACAGGGTGGTTCACTTTGCAGTAGCTAAATTTTGATATTCCATAATGAAAAAAGATCCTATAAAACATGTGCTTCAGTTTTTGGGATACAAGGCATTGGAATTGAAAATAAACGTGAAGGAACTATTGAGTTCTAAGGTCGCCATTTTTTCTATAAAACTCCTTCCATATTTCAAAATATTTGAGATTGTTCTATTAGTGCCTGTGTTAACACATAATAAAAACAAATATATTTATTTCGGTTATAGATACTTAATATGTTAGTCTATGCAAAGTCAGTTGAACAGATATTTTTGGCTAGCGTTTTCCAAGAAGTAACTGAAGGATAACCATTTTACTTTCTCCTGGGAAAAAAGTTTTTGTAGTAACTCTGCTTGTCGCCTTTCTTCAAAATCCTGATTTGGATGATTATTTATTCAAATATAGAATTGACTGTGTAACTAGGTTGATTCAATCTAAACTTCTTATCTCATATACTAATTTATGCACAACATTTTGTGTTTTGTCGGGGCCTTATTTATGCAGCACACTATGATTTCCATAGTTCTGACAGAAAATTCTTTTGTTATCAAGTTACTTGACTCGATCAAGAAGTACTTTCAGTTCTAGGAATCAAGTGTATATACCAGAAAGTGATGGTAATGTGCTTAATGCAAAATGAAAATTTCAAACCAGTCAGTTTCAGATGCTTTATTTCGAAATTGTTACTATGGTAACCAGCAAATTTTTTGTAAATTTTTCATCCACATGAGCTTGTAGAAGTAAAATTGAAGAGTGGCATAAGACAAAATTGAAATAATTTCAACATTTTTAATTTCCCGAGAACCTAGTAAGAAAATCATGAAATCAATTATTATTATGTAATAATGTATGTGATACTGTAAATTTTATTTTACTAGGGTACAGGGAGAGTAAATACATTTTCTTACCGACTCCCCCAAATTTGTCTGGTACATGACTTTTTAAAGAAAATTATATCTCATCACTTTGCCGCTTCTAATAATTCTCAAAAAGTTCGTGTTCCCAAAAAATTTCCCATAGTTTCAGATCATTGGAGAAATTGCAAAACCAAGTAACTGACAAAAATTCGAAAATGTAATTTTGGCGGCAATCATTTGATTGGTTTGGTAGGGACGCGTATGCAAAACCTCACAACTAGCAATAAACAATTCAGAATATTTCAAAACCCTTTATCTGAAAAACAAAATAGAAGGGGTCCTCAAAAACAAGTATCTAACAGTTTGCCATGTGATTCACGCCTCTGATATTGTGGTTGTGTTTGTTCAATTACTTTTCACAGAGATCAATCTCTGCTAATTGCTGAGTGAATTTTCATAGAACAAATATGTAAAACAGTTTATTCTCAACTTTAATTGCTATTTTAACACAGGATGTGAGAACTTATCTCAAGTATTTGTTAAACATGAAATGTTTAGAAAAATTAAGTAATGACAAACAAAAACAATGACTTGCAAGGATAATAATAATCAAGTAGTTTGTAACTATTTTTAATTGAATCTGATTGTTAGCCCATAACTATAAAGTTTTCAGTTACTGTCTCCTGGATTTTTTTTTATTTTTGCAGTTTTTTTTCGCTTGGAGCGCACGAAAGGAAATCCCTATAATGTTCAAAGAACATCGTGCGTTCCTAGGGAGGATAAGGACAGGAGGTAGGTATTGGAATTTTTTTGAACTTCTGGAGATTGTTAAGAAAATGAATAAGGAAATAAATGATAGTATATTTTGTTTCCAAAGTTATATTTCAAAATGAATCCCAAGGTTTCATAAAAAAGTCTGTTTGTAAATCATAATGAAATGAAAACTCATCATTTTTCAGCTTTGAACGTAACTTTGGCCCTACTTAAGATATAAATTCAGTTAGAATCAATTACTAGTTTATAAATTTTCAATCACAATCATTCAACAAGAAACAATTAAAATGAACCTTCACATCAACACATCCCCAATGTGAAAAATAATTCAATAGAAGTCTGAATAAGCATTACTGTTGGTAAAATGGTTAGTCTACATATTTCCAGCATCTGTAAATGCAGAGATTATACACTCCCCATCTCTGGTAAATGCATTGTGTTGGGCACAGTTCATACACCTATGATATTTACACAGATTTTACTTTTTGAAAATGGGAGAGGTCATACTATCATTTGCAAGATTTGTGGAAAACACATGTTTTTAATAATTATCCATACAAGTTCATAATATAATAAGTAAACTTAATAACTTAAAGGAGACTTAAAACTCAGCCACATAAAGCTCTATACTTCACTGTGTTACCATCTATGCAACTTTCCCAAAAATGTGAAATACACAACACTGTGTTTCCAAGAAGACTTCTGAATCTCAGAAATATTATCAATTTTATAAAATCTATTTTTTTTGACAATGTAGTACATGACTTGGGTGAACTATGACTGATTATCCATATTTGCTGTTAATACAAAAGTTCCAAGGTTGATGAACTCCTATCACCTGAATTTTCATATACCAATAATCAAAAAAGTAGTTGCATATTAAAATGTCAATGAATTTGTGTTTCATGATTAAATTTATGGCTTTTCCATGGTTCCAAACTTGTCAATTTGATTGAATTCAGTTGCATAAATGTTTTTTGACTACATACCTCCAACATTACATTGAAAACACACTTGAATGGAGTTTTTGTTTACAGCAGAGAACATGATGGAGTGGTGCAGGTATCAATATTGAGGGGAAAAGCAAGAGATGGTTGGGGTGGTAGGGTGCTCTGCTGACTTGTAGGCTAGAAGCAGCTGCCCTCTGGAGGCTGTGTCAGCTTCATGTTTTCTTTCAGTGTCATCAATCTGCGCACCTCTTGTAACACTGTCTTGATAGTGTATTCTCTCTGCCACCTTGCCAGTACTGGAACCTGTCTGTTGTCCAACTAAAATAAAATTCTCAAGTTATGATTGTGAAACAAAATGAATAACATAATATTTATAACAGGATTTCATTCAGTTCACATACCACTCCAGTATTACTATTAATACAGTTGATATTTATCCTTGAGATAAATTTTGCAGTTGGAGCATCATCAGGGTATTTCTGACCACACTCAATTTTCACAGAATACATCCTATTTTCATATGGTGTTCTCGGGGGTCCAATGATCATGCCCATCCAGTGGGTCAGAGTCATATCGTCATCATTTTCTAAGCCCCAGCTGATTGTTCCATCTGAAACACCCTTTTGTCCTGCTTCCAACTCTTCAAGCAGGCGAAAGTTCCTTGGCACCACTATAGGAATAGAAAATAATACGTTCAGAACCATAATACGTAAAAAACATTAAGGTGGTAAGATTCTCGATCTGGAGAAAATATTTGACGAAAAAAATGTCTTACCCACACCGGCAGAAGGGGTCGCCATAATGATTCAGGCAAGTCGACGTTGTGGTCAATATCTTTCAGACAATATTTTATTGTCAAATTAATCAACTCACTAACTACCGATTAAAGATAAAATCACTAGAAGAGAAAATTATTTGGACAAAATTTTTGTAAGAATGTCCCAGTAGAAACTAAAAACTTGGAGATCCTCCATCAATTCATAGAATCCAGAATCAAGATTCTAGAATGAGAACAGCTAGATTCTTGTTGACTTGACAGTGACACTTGAGGCCTGTTCGTTTGTATTGCTCGACTTCTTGTTGAAGTTGATTTTTTTCCAATAGTTGTCTCGCTATCTCTGTTCATGGTATGATGTAAACAGAGAAAGTTATATAAAAAATCAAATTCAGCAGGTACTGGTAGAGGTAGATGGTGCACAGACATTGATTTTTTTTTTGTGAAACTCCATGAATACCAACCAACCGTAACCGAATGTCAGAATCAGAATGTCAGAAAAGTCAAATGTAGTATGTAGTATGTAGTTCATGTGAGCATGTGCCTCTAGTGGTAATGTCTGAGTACGAAGCCCATAAAAAAATAAAGAAGATTAATCATATAACCTCAAAGCTGACAGTCCTGATTTCTGAACATTGCTCCTGGATACTCTTTGGTTGAGAAAATGCCTAATATTTTTTGTTGAAATTATAAAAAATGGCTCTCATTTCACGTATACGAACCATTGTTCAAAGGAATATATTTACAACAAACAGATACCAGCATGGATATATCATTCTGTGAGTGCTTATTTTAGGATATGTTATGTTGTCTTTTCAACTGGTCTTCAATCAATCTTCTTTCGTAGGGTTCCGGAAATCGGTGAAGACTCACCTGAGACCACATTTTTACAAAGTGACGGCTTGCCGAAATTCAATGATATATCCATAGAAAACTGCCGTGCAGCAATTGCAAGACAGTCTTTAGAATTTGAAGAGGGTGTCAAAAAGTTAGGAGAAACCCTTGGAGAAACCTCAGCTATAGATCCATCTAAAGATATATTCAAAGAAGTATTTCAGTCATTAGAAGAACTAACTGTGCCTCTAGACCTGACTTGGGGCTTGTCTAAGACTTTATACCTAGGTAACAGTACTCTGATGCCTACTTCAAGTTATATGGCCATCCATGACCGTGCTAAATTAGTGAGAGCCTCCAAATACACAAATATAGGTATTTATGAAGCTGTTAAGAAAGCTAAACAGTCTGAGATTAAGAGAACTAATGAAGAAACTAGAATAATTGACAAGTTTCTGTTAGAGGGTAAATTAAATGGTTTAGAGTGTACTGACAAGGGACGTAGACTGTTAACAGAGTACTTGAATAGCCTGATTGACCATAAAAATCAGTTCAGACAGAAGACAGAAATATCAACAAGGCTTTTTTCTCACACTATAAGTGACAACCAAGTAACTAGGGATTTTCCAGAAGACCTATTGAAGCTAACTGCTGCTAATTCAAATAACCCACTCAAGGGACCTTGGAAAATATCATTGCTGCCCCATATTTACATGCCTGTGATGGAGTTTTGCTCTGATAGAGAGTTGAGGTGGAACTTGTGGCAAGCCTTAGTAGGAAGGGGATCTAACTATGGAGAGAGAGATTTAAGAACTGGACTGACTTTAGAAGAAATCAGGATAAGGAAACGTGATATTGCCAAAGTCTTGGGCTATGAAACTTATGCTGATTTATCCATGGAGACAAAAATGGCTGGTAAAGTATCCAATGTAAAGAATATGATATCAAGCTTACTGGAAAGTTCTAAGCCAGCTCAAGAATCTGAATTGAAACAATTGCACCAGTTTGCTACAGATAGAGGTTTCCAACATGAGAAACTAGAATTGTGGGACCTACCTTATTGGAGAAGAAAACAGCAAAAAAGTCTCTTTGGCTATAGTGAAAAAGAATTTAAACAGTACTTTCCACTTCAATCAGTATTAGATGGTTTATTCCAGTTATGTGAGAGGTTATTCAATATAAGAATAAGCCAAAGAAGTAATGTATCGGCTTGGCACAAAGATGTGAAATTCTATGATATTTTTGAGGATCACAGTACTGAACCAGTAGCAGGATTCTATTTGGATCCCTATGCTAGATCTGAGGACAAAATCAAAGTTGAAAATACTGGTTGGATGGTTGGGATTCAGAACAAGAGCAAGTTGTATGATAGGAAACCATTAGCTGCACTAATATTCAATTTTGATCCTCCTATAGACAAACAGCAATCATATTTAGATGTCAAAGAAGTAAAAGCTCTTTTCCATAAGTTTGGACACTCTTTGCAGCATTTGTTGACACGTACCACTTATTCTGATGTTTCTGGATTGTCTGGTATTGAATGGGATGCAGTTGGAATCAGTGGGCATGTGTTGTCACATTGGTTATTTGATAAGGATGTTGTTGATGCAATATCTTGTAAATGTGACACAGGAGATAAACTGCCAGATGAAATGTTTCAGGCAAGTGTGAATTTTTTAATGGCTATTGAAATTTGAGAAAAATTCAAACATTTCTTACAATTTTTGTCAAACTATAGAAGAATTATTTGTGGAGTGTTGCTGAATATGATCAAGTAACTGATTTGTATTTAAAGTTCCTAAGAAAATTCCTCTCAGTATCATGATCATGTGTACAGCAGACTTTTCAGATTACAAAATCTAAATGAAAACATTGCAAAAAGATTCAATTAAATTTTTCAGTCAGTATATATTTTTGTAATTACCAACTATCACTGTTGAGCAAACATTATCACCACACCTTAGTTGAATAAGAACATTATTTCTGTGCTGTTGTCAAAGATTGCTTTCATGTGAGGGGTGCCTGACCTCAACAAAATGTGTATAACCAGATTGGATATTGTGAGATTTGAAGCATTTTTGATTAGGGTTGTATTCTCTGTATATCCCAATCACTCCCAATGAACATCACAGAACCACTTCAATATTTCATATTTACAATAGTGTCATAATTGGATACTCATCTATACTACTAATTTATTACCATATTTGGGAATTTATTTCCCCTCATTTATCAGAAAAAAAAACAATGGCTCTGCTAGCTTTATGTCAACCTAGCAGAACCATAGCTGAAAATGTATTTTTTCTGTGATGAAAAAAAAATTTGAAATTTCATCTGTTGACATGCTATAAAATGTCACTTTTCATCAATTACTTTCTCCCCAGGGGAAAAAAGTGGGTACATTTTTCCCGGATATATGTATATCACATATATATATATATATACACTTTTGATGGCTTTTGTTGTGCTATAGTTCTGAAAAATAAGCCAATAACACCAACTCTGTGAAAGAACTTTAAGCACAGATTAACAACTGTGCTGCAAGTGCTTCTATCTTCCATTGGACTTCAAGGTTATGTAAATTCCTAAACAACCACTAAATTCGCAATTTTTGTAAATGAAAGCACAGGATTAGACTGACAGATATTTGATGGCTTCAAAAGGATGATGAGGATGCCTGTGACACAGGTGTTATTATAGGGGTAATGGGGGTAATTACTCCCCTCCCCCAAGAAGAATAATTAGTTTTTTTTTCTAATATTTTCGGGCTTGAGGTTGGAAAGATATTTTCACAATACTTCCGAAATTTCTCGAATTTGAGAAAGAGATTTAGGTATTTGAAAAGAGATGTGTGTGTTTTCAAGATTGGAGCTTGAATTTGTGAGATTTCCAAGATCCACAGCATTAAAATTAATGTAGATATTGTGCCTAATGTCCGAAAATGGAGGTTTATCGAACCTGTCCACAGGTAACTAATCCTTCAGGTTGGGAAAGTAGGATATATAAGCAAGCCAATGTTAGTTTAGTTCATTGTATCAGTATTGAGAGTGTTTGAGAATTTAGTGGAAATCTTATCGTTTGTGAAGTTTTTACATTTGCCATGGATTTCCATCAAATAACTGCCGAGTGAATTCAAAAAATATAGCAAATATCACGTAAATTTCATGGCTCATCTTTCAGGCTCTAGTGGGCATCAACAAACACATGGCAGGCTGCGACCTATCGAGAGAATTGTACCTGTCCCACTTAGACCTAGAACTGTACTCAACAAAAGAGTTCTGGCTGGACATCGTGAGGCGGCTGTGGCCGCAGTACCGATGCTTCACCCTCCACAAAATCGACTCGCACCCTCTGTCCTTCAAGCAAATAGTGTGCGAAGAGTGGGCTGCGGCTTATTACAGTCACGTGTGGTCCCGGATGATTGCCGCGGACGCATACAGTGCGTTCCAGGAGGTGCGCGGGGACGAACAAAAGGTTGCGGAGGTGGGGAAACGGTTCAGGGAGTCGTTTTTGGCTTTGGGGGGCGGGGTGCATTCCGGGCAGATTTTCCGGGAGTTCCGGGGCAGGGACCCGTCGCATAAAGCGTTGGTTAGTTCGTTGGGGTTGGACAAGGTTGGGAGTTAAAGATAAAAGTGTTATGTGTAAGTTTCATTATTGTAATTTGTAGTTAATACATCTTGTACATAAGTCAGGAAATGAGTATTATTTTGTTGAAAGTACATAATATATTCTTTGCAGTTAAATCAGGCTATGCAAAAATGAAGGCTGATAGAATAAATTATAATCCAATTTGAACTTGTTGAAATTATAGGTGCTTGATTAGTTCAGGGAGAGGTATGGTGATATGAGGTAAGTGAATTTCTCATTATTGAGGTTAAATACTGAGGTTATAATATATATTTTTCCAAGAAAAAAATTAGCTGAAGGAAGAATATGAATAAAAAGAAGGTAGTTAGTTATCTAAAATATATTATAATTTCTTCAAGTTTCATATTATACACTTCCCCAAAAGAATAACTCACCACCAAAGAGTGTCCTAAAGTTTGAGATACAGTTTCGTCGGACTCACTTGTCCGATTTGGACGATTTTTGTTTTGAATGATTCCTTCTGAATATTGGCGTGCAAACTGTGTTCAGATATGAATACCGCGTGTAGCAAATACAGCGTGTTTCATTCATGAACTTTGTTATACCCTGTGGAGTGTAACAGATGCGTTATCAAGTTGAAATTTGAAGCCTTATCTCGTTTCTCAACATTCTTTTTTTTGATTTACTCCACTGTTTTTCCTATCTTTCCAGAAACACAATTTTATAGCATAACACAATTTTATATAATAACATAATTTTATTGAATTCAATTGGTGCTCATAGCACGAAAGTAGCAGGCTATGGTCTGGGAAGGCATTTCTTTGACTGGTTGCACGGAACTTGTAATCATAATTCAAAGACCTACAGCTGGAAGGTACATATTGGTGATTTCAGAACCACATATTATAGTGTGAGGATTTTTATTGATGCAAGATAATGGCAGGCCTCACGTCGCCCGAATTGTGAGAATTTATCTAGAGGAAGTCAGTATCGCTATTATGGAATGGCCAGCTCGGAGCCCGGAAACGCACGGCAGAGACTGATGATTCAAAGTAGAAAAGACCTGGACCTACATGACATTAAGTTTCTTATTTTGGGTATAGGCTGTCTTTGCCAAGAAGCTGATCGTGCCCGCGGTGAAGATACTCGCTACTGACCCTTTCTAATAATAGTAATAGAGAAGATAATGGAGTGAATCCAAAAAAGAAATGTTGAAAAAATAAGCTTAAAGTGTAATTTCAATTCTAACTTGATTGTGTATATAAAAAAGAGGTTTTTATGCAAATACAGTTTGCACACCACTGTTCAGAAAGAAATAACCTGTCATTCGAAACAAAAAACGTCCTAATCGCACAAGTTGTTTTGCCGAAAATGTTTCCAAAGCATTTGGCTACTTTTTGGTGGTGTATTATTTTCTTGGAGAAGTGTATAATATACCTCTCGCCTACTAACTAGCTTTTCTATTCAGATTGACGATAGTACAAGAATAAGATACTATACATGTTCAATTACCAAACTTAATATAAAGAAAACCTGATGTGTTATTATTTTTAATAAAAATTCCAATCGTTTTCTTCCGGTAGGTACACCATTATACTGAACAAGACAAATTCAATCACAAAAAACTGTCTTATTGTTGAAAACAAAAGAAACATTGTAAGTCTATCGAGACTTTGAATGATTCTGAACAAATAATAAACTAAAACCTTCCTTCCATGATAGAAACCACAAACAATCCTTAGAGAGAGAGAATAATCTTTATTGTCTAAAATGTATTACATTTCGTCGACAAAGGTATAACATATATATAAAACACAAACTATTGTAAAAGAAACAAGACTAAAAAAATATTTACACAAAGGGTATAATACGGTACGGTACACACGTGCTTTCACAACTACAGTTTATTAAAATCTTGATGTAGATAGTAACATTTATATAGAAAGACTAGAAATTAGATGCAAAATACTCTTCCAAACTATAAAAGCACTTTCCCATCAGAAGGTTTTTTACCGATTTCCTAAATTTCTTCTGATCATTGATTGCTGTTGTTTGTTTCGGTAAATGATTATATATCTGTCTACTTCTATAGATTTGAGAATGCTTGGTCAAAGTTGATGTGGGGAGTGGAAGGACAAGTATCATCTCCTTTCGTGTATGCCTTTCTGCTCGATTCAAGAACTTTTCTTTATGTTTGTGGAGCAAGCAAACAGTCTCTATAATAAAAATTTCGAATATTGTTGGTATTTTATATTTGCAGAAAATTGGCCTACACGAGTCGCGAATCTTCTTTTTGAATATTATTCTCATAGCTCTTTTTTGAATGACGAATATACTTTGCAATAAAACCTGGCAGGCAGAGCCCCAAAATGGAATTCCATACCTAAGATGACTCTCCATGAGTGAATAGTATGCGGTCATTGAAGCTGAAAATCCAAGTTCACGAGATATGACATTCACGGCAAAGCAACCAGAAGACAATTTCTTTTTCAGTGCATTAATTTGTGTGTCAAACTTCAAATTACTATCAATAAATATACCGAGGAATTTCGTTACAAGCTTACTTTCAACCGTCTGACAACCTAAAGTTACCTGATCCAAATTCCACTTAAATGTGACCAGATTTGTTTTAGAAAAATTCAGCGACAACATATTCGATTCACACCAATTTTTTATTTTTTGTAAATCAGAGTGTATTGTTCGAGTCAAAATGGCCGGATCTCCATTACGCCAAAATACCGTGGTGTCATCCGCAAATAAACAATAAACCGTGATTTTCTATTTTGTAATCTTTGTCAGGATGAAATTGACTTCCATACACTGTTTACAAGGTGACATTGAAATAAATAAATCTAAAGAAAGCTCATGGTATATATAGATATAGGTACTATCGAATAGCACTATTGAAAACATATATATGTCGGGGTCAATTAAGTCATTTCACGTATTGTCGGCAAACAGCGTAACTTCCATTTTCAGCCGTTACTCTGTTTGCCGGAGGGTTGAGGAAGGATAATATCCTTTCTGCATATCCATAAGAAAGGAGGCTATTTTTCCGCCTAAATGAATCTTCTTCCTAGAAAGTATATTTTTCAGAAAATTACTTGAGAGAACAGAAGAGACTACTGCTTCTGAACAACCGAACCTTCCTTCCATCATTACAGGGAATGCCTGAAACTATTAGGCAAACCGTGTACGAAATTTAAAGTTACGCTGTTTGCCGGCAATACGTGAAATGACTAGGCATTATTCCAGAGAATGGTGGATTTCACTGTTTGACGCCGACAAATACATCGTAATAATCAAGATAATCTATTGTAAATCTGATATTGTGATTCTTTGATTGAGTTAATGCTATTTAGAAACTATATTAATGAGCCTAGGAATAGTTGATCCAAAATAATTAACTAATCAACTCTTCTTCAGTTTCTAAAATCTTCTTGAATTCATCATCATGGACAAGTTTCAAACTGAATTTCAATTCATCTAGGCCCTGTTTCTTCATCCCAAGCTTACATAGTGCTTGACCACGTCTCCCAATACATATTGCCCTTTCCTGCAAGTTGGATGAACATTCGGGTTTCAGAAGTTCCAGTGCTGTGCTGCAATCTTGAAGAACCTTGTGATTGTTACCTAAATATCAATATTATTAATTACAAAATTAATGAAAAAACTATGCTGAAGTTGAATGTCGTAATGAAGAATTTGCACGGCCCTTACCAAAAATTGTAAAGAGTGGCTTTTAAAAACGTGTGTCAAAACACACATCCATTTATTTGAACGGAACACCGTTTTGTAGTTTTTTCGAAACCTTCGATTTTTTGTGGTAAAAAAAATGTATATTGGAAAAATTGAATATTATCTGTCATGTTTTTAGGGAACATTATTATTATAAGAAAGTTATCCGTTGTGTATCAATTTCTCAATTAGGTCTTAGAGTACTCTATCGTTTATTCAGGGGGGTGGTGAGGTATAGCCACGTGTAGAAACGTTAGTTTCCTAATCGCGATGGCTTGTTGATCGATCGTGGGTTCAAATCCTGCAGCAATTCCGTTGATGGCTCAAGAAAGTGTTTGGGATCACACGATGAATGGTAAGACCCCGTCATTCCTTGCTCGCACAAGTCTCTTTAAGACTTCTGAGGGTTGCTCGTAAGGGGGTAACCGAATGATAGATGGAACAATTTTAAAACTTTTTTTTTCGTCGAGGTGGCTGAAATCCTTTATGGACATCATATGGGTCTAATCCCCTATTTGATAGTGTGATACACCCACTAAATACTAACCCGTTTGTAGGCTCGTCTGATGACCAATGTCTCCGACGACACTTTTAGGCCTAGTGGCCCATGGTATCTCACCTATATGCCGTTATGAATTTCACCATATACGATTCATGTTGCTTTATTACTTTACGAAAAGCACGGATGAATACACACCACGGGATAAAGCGAGACGAAACTCACCTCACAGGATTGCATGGGAGCATGGGACATTTTGGTTACTTTATTTGTTTGCTCACCTATGGCTAAATGGGCCTCTGCTCTGGAAATATAAAAGTCCACAAACTCTTTGCTCAACTTGATCCCGTAGCTGTATGCACTAATAGCTCCCAAATAGTTTTTGTTTTTCAGAAACTCATCCCCCTTGGCCTTTATGAACTGCGGATTCCTCTCTTCGGGTCTGATGTCTTCGCTAACGAACCCAGCAGTTCTTCTGGCTTCTGCCTGCTTGGCTAAAAATTCGTTTTCTTCTTCCAATCGGGACTCTCTACTGGGCGTTGTGAACTCTCGAGGCGTAAACTCTATTTCCAGAGTTCTCGGGGCTCTGATAGGCACTGGCGGGACTGCTTTTTTGGGTGGGGGTGCTAGGGTAGGTTTTTTGACGATTCTTCTTTGGTGTGGTAGTTGCTTTTTCGCTATTTTCTTTTCCCAGTCCTCCAGATCACCTAAATTATATTTCTCATAATATGGTACATAGTTTACGAATTACTGTATTTTCAGGTACCTATACAGGGTGTCCGGAAAGGTCATGTCGTAATTGATAGGGCTGATAAAGTGAACCAAAATAATGGTACTTCATATAAAAAATGGCTATCACTTTGTTGCGGAGTTATTGACCTTGTAAGTTTATATGGACTCGCAGAAATTTTCAAGGTCAATAGCTCGGTAATAACATTATTTTGGCTCACTCACAGCTCTGCAACTACCATGATATTATTGAATGAATAGAGTTTATCCACGACTGTTGTATAAAATATTCATCATACAGGTACAGGGTGGGCAAAATTGGGCGTTTTCACCGTCTATCTCAATAACTAGAGGAGTTATCGAAAAACCGATATACATGTTCCGGGTTCGATTTTGGAGAAACTTCGAATGGCACAATCAAAATTTCGATATCTTCATTCGTTTTAGAGATACAGGGGGAAATTGAAAATTTGCCGATTTCGATTTTATTTTCTGACTACTTTACGGTGAGAGGTATCAAAAAATTTCAAACGTATATTTATACAGTATGATGCGTGGAATCCATTGGCATCATCAGAAATTTTATACAGGGTGACGTTGAGAAAATACGACAGCCAATTATGTTTTTTATAATGGAACACCCCGTATATTTTGGCACAGTTGAATAGTCCCAGGCGTTCTCATTACAAATATATATATAATCCTACCTTTTCCTTCCACAATTTCAGATATATTCGCAAAAATATATTCAGTGTGTCACATTTCTTATGGTCACACCCCCGTATCTTCTGTAAAAATAATTGAGGTGGGATTCAAAAATTCGCAACTGTCAGAAAGATACAAATGATACACTCATGGAGTCATGGACCAAGTGGGATCATCTCCAATGATAACACTGCTCGCCAGCAGCTATATGGAATCATCGATATTTCTGGATAATGCTATCAACAGGCAGAATCGAGGTTGAAAATGACACTCTGTATATATTCACCAAATGTGAAAAATAAATATCATAGGGAATGTAATTTCCAGATAAATGGATATTTGGTGAGAAATAAAATGGGAAATTATTCGATTTGATATCATTGTTATCAAGACATTTGAAATACAGAAATAAGACCAATAATTTACTCAATTAGGAAATCAGTAGGTTGCGTTGAAAAATATAGTCTTATAGAAGATGTCCAAATTCCAGATACAGAACAATTTTTTTTATGGAACACCCCGTATATTTTGGCAGAGCTGGAAATTTCCCGTTTCAATTTCAAATATATATCTTATTTATTTTCTCTTCGAACGCAAAAATATTAAGGCATACTAGAAATAATGGGTAAAGTATCATATTCAGGCATTCTGCCACAAAATATTATGATTGTTAATGTTTCCATCAATTATTCTTACAGAAGATACGGGGGTGTAACCATAAGAAATGTGACACACTGAATATATTTTTGCGAAAATATCTGAAATTGTGGAAGGAAAAGGATATATATATTTGTAATGAGAACGCCTGGAACTATTCAACTGTGCCAAAATATACGGGGTGTTCCATTAGAAAAAACATAATTGGCTGCCGTATTTTCTCAACGTCACCCTGTATAAAATTTCTGATGATGCCAATGGATTCCACGCATCATACTGTATAAATATACGTTTGAAATTTTTTGATACCTCTCACCGTAAAGTAGTCAGAAAATAAAATCGAAATCGGCAAATTTTCAATTTCCCCCTGTATCTCTAAAACGAATGAAGATATCGAAATTTTGATTGTGCCATTCGAAGTTTCTCCAAAATCGAACCCGGAACATGTATATCGGTTTTTCGATAACTCCTCTAGTTATTGAGATAGACGGTGAAAACGCCCAATTTTGCCCACCCTGTACTTCCTCAAGCAGAACGGTAGCCATTCTTCACACTACCAGTGGATAATAGCAGTGAATAACCATAATTCACTGGTCTAGCTTCCCTAGGGTACGCGATATAACATATAAGGAACTATTTAGACCAGTGAATAATGGTTATTCACCGCTATTATTCACTGGTCTGAAAACTGGCTATCGATGTGCTTGAGGAAGTACAACAGTCGTGGACAAATGATTGATATAACAAGGTATCTTCAATTTTTAATTTTCTTAATGTCAAATGGGTAATTATAAAGCCGAGGATAAACAAATTCTTGAAAATATTTTTCGTATATCAAAAACAATGGTAGTCGTGGACAAAGTATAGTATTCTTTCACACGACGGAAGTATGTCCGGAATAATAGGAGCAAATAAATCGCTGTGCCGTGGATTGGGCCACAATAGAGAGCTTACTGTGATTGGGCTCAGACTGAGCAGGGGTGGTACCTACGTGTAGGTTTTTGATATCTACCATTAAATTGGTATCGGGATGGCATAATTCTTATCTCGTTATCAAATCGCGAAATCGAGTGCAAATTTCCGCACAGGAAAGTGAAATTTTTCAATCATTGTGCTCAGGATAGTGATTGGCATTCCTTTGGGACATATAATTTCGTTCATCAGATGACGGCCAAAATCTGCAGTTGGCTCTCCTCCTATTTGGATCCTATTCGCGGTAGTGAAGGTCATCATCTGACGTTGTCATGACATGATAACTACGGAAAACATGTCTATTTCAATCTAAGCAGGAGTTTTCATGTCATATCGCTACGTCAGATGATGACCTTGACTACCGCGAATATAAAGCAGGATCCATCATTTATTGAAAGGTAATAATAAACTCACCCAAAGCTTTTGCCTCTTCTTCTTTCTTGATAGTTTCTATAGTTTTTCTTGTTTCAGTATCTGTCTCGATCTGTTTTCGTACAGCTACTCTTTTCAGCTCCGCTTTCTTGTTAACTCTCTCTTCTGCATCTTTCTGAATTTCTTTATAGGATTCCTCTAAAAACTGCTTTTTCAGTTCAAGCTTCTCCGCTTTTGAAACATTTGGTTCCAAGAGTTCCCATTGCGTTTGCTCTTGCTTTTTCAGTTCGAATATTATGTCCGTCGCAGTTAATATACATTTACTATCATTTTTATCGACTGGATTGCTCAAAATGGCTTCGAAATAGTTTTGTTCATATGAAGCTTTAACATACCTTGATGAAATGAAAATGTCTACTTTCGATTGGTGAACACCTCTTAAAGGGACTTGAATCATGATGTTGCTCTCGGTTTGTTTCCAAGTATAGTCCTTGATTATTATAGGCATTCTAATTCTTTATGATTATGTGCAAGCAATTTGTAAATAATAGAATGTCAAATTTTCACCAACTTCGGTGTGAAAGGTGTGTAATCATTGGAGGCATTTGGTTTTGTCGATGTTTCCATGGAAACTTTGGGAGTGAAAAATAAATGATTTCATTTCTTCATACTTTTAGGATTTTCTCTCTATTTTTAATGATACAGGGTGTTTGGTGCATCGTGTGCCAAATTGATATGGTAGAATGAAGGGGTCATCTGCTATTCTTTAAGACTAGTTAACACCTAGCTTTCATGCCCTGTGGATTATTTTTTATCGTCTTTTTATCTGTTTATAAAAAAAAACAAAATTCCACATTCAAATTCAAATTTTGAAAAAAGTATAAGGCGTAGACTCTGTATTTTAATTTTTTTCAGATGTGTATTATGTTACAGTACTTTTAAATACAAAACTAGCTAGTGACATAAGTTATCTAGTTTTTTTTAAATTCACTCGCAAAGTTTCGAAATATGTAAAACTCAAATTGAAGCTGTGACTACATGGCTACAAAAAAAAAACAGAAGTGACCAGAATCTTCCAACTCCCTCAAAAGTCCTCTAGTCCATCCTCTTGCCAATAATGTGTCACATACCATCAATATATTTCAACAACTTTGTGAATTCGCTAGAAATATCAATCAAGTCTCATAAGGCTGTTATTAAAAATGATCTGAAAACATATTTTTGCGTAACTGTCACTCCAGAAACAAGTGAAATTTATATTTCTTGCACAACGTAAATCTGTTTGAACAAATCACGAACTGCCACCGACCCCATAATTTTTTAGTCGAGACGTCACTGCCTCTGCTACCTAACGTGTTCATTTCATTGTACTCCGCGATTCTTTCATGCGTGGATTGGGCGCGATGGCCCTATTGTATGGCCGCCACGTTCCCCAGACCTAACTCCGTTAGACTTTTATGTCTGGGGACCTGCCAAAGGGCTGGAACGCCACGGAAGTTTCAACTAGGGATGTACTAGTCCAATATAACGCATAAAAACGGCCTTCGATACCATTAAGGAGGAAATACGACTTCGAACGACAACTGTCGAAATACGAAACAGATGTCGAGCCTGCATTCGCAACAGAGGTCAACAATTTGAGCAGGATTTGTGAGATTTATGAAATGAATGCGAAATAAATGTTGAAAATGCAATTTTATTTTTTGTTTATTTCAAGTATAATCCACGAAACAATAGAGATACGAGACTGATTTCACCTCATAAGAATAAGATAACAAATTTAAAAGGTTCAGGTATCATTCAAACAAAAATAATTTTTCAAATCATAATTCTGAATATTTGCCTTATGTGACTCGATTCACAATTCTAGCGAATTTACAAAGTTGTTGAAAGATATTTATGGCATGTGACACATCATCAGCAAGAGGATAGACTAGAGAACTTTCGAGGAAGTTGGAAGATCCTGGTCGCTGTTGGTTTTTTTTGTAGTCATGTAAAGTCACAGCTTTAATTTGAGTTTCACATATTTCGAAACTTTGCAAGTAAATAAAAGAAAAACTAGATGACTAATGTCACTAGTTTTGTATTTAAAAGTACTCTAACACAATACACATCTGAATATAATTAAAATCCAGAGTCTACGCCTTATACTTTTTCCAAAATTTGAATTTGAATGTGGAATTCGGGTCTTTTTTTGATGAACAGATAAAAAGACGATTAAAAATAATCCACAGGCCATGAAAGGTGTGAACTAGTCTTAAAGGATAGCAGATGACCCCTTCATTCGACCATTTCAATTTGGCACACGATGCACCAAACACCCTGTATAATAGTTATTTATGTACCAAGGACGAAAAACTGTCCATTTTAGTCGAGTCTGCAAATTGACTTATATCCACATCATGGTCCTCACACATAAAAATAATTTCTTCCTTTAATGAAATATGCTTCGAATGTTACTGGAATAAACCATTGCTTGATGTAAGAATTTTTCATTTCCAATTCAGTAGTCTCCGACCAAGCGTATAGGTTGCTTGAAATATGAAGAATTAGATATTCTTCATATGAGTACAGCAAAGATACAGCAACTATACTCTAAACAAGAGTCTCATTGCATAGACAATTATTCTCTTCACTGGGAGAGTACTTTTTTCGAATGAAATAACAGAAATTCTTATTGTTCACTGCAGCTTATTTTATAACAAGAAATTGATAAGATTGGACCAATGAAATGAGGTGTTCCAATTGAAACTACCATATTGCTGAATAAGAAAACTATCATTTGCTTGATTGGATGGAATAACTCTTCACTCAAGAACTTCAAACGTGATAATGCAAATGAGTTTAAAAAAAATAAAAGTCTCGAAGTCGTCTCCACAAAATTAATTGACCAAAATATGCAGTTAATCCTGCTTCAGAAAGGTTTGAGACATGTTTCGAACATTCAGATGGTCAAATTTCCCTGTATTCATTTATTTTCATTACCCTATATGTTTTCTACCGTTTGTTGTATTATTTTTCGATCAAGGAATACTTTCTTCTGATTTTCGTGCCTTCTTTTCGGAACTGTATTTTTAAAAAACAAAATAATGCGAAAAGAACAAACCAGGATAAAACAAGACGATTTGAACATTTTTCATGAGAAAATATTTTTTGCGAGAGACTTTAGTGGTTCCAATCACCCCCTATCGATGTGTCGTGTTTTTTCAAATCATTAAACTCTCGAAAATAATACTGGCAGTATGCGTGTTCAATACTTCATTTTATATTTTGTATACTATATATCTCCCCTCCCCGTATAATTCCATCATCATCATTTTTCATACATATCCCCCGGTATAATTCCATTATCATCATTGTCATAGATAAATCATTTGTTCGGAAATTAATCGGTTAGCAACATGATTCACCTTATTAGTCATTTATTCGGGACCAGGTGGTAAATCAAGACAGTCTCATAGTAGATGTCATCACATACGGTCGAATTTTGTGATAGACATTGAAAAATACGCGAAAGGAATTATTTATCGTTTCAAACGGAGTGTTCTCTAAAAAATGAGTGATAGTTATGTGTTTTTGTATTCCTCATTCAATAATTCATTTCGCGATATTGTGTTGTTCTGGTGCTTCGTGGAAAATCAAAAATTCCAAACAATAAACAATGGAATTGCAGAAATCATTTTTCACTTTATTTCACGCTGGTGAGTTATTTTTAACTTTTTTATTATGAGTGTTAGTATAATCTGATAGGTGATAGGTATTTTGAGCCGATACCATTCGATACATCTAGAGAAATCTTATTAGAGTATAGGTAGGTACTCCTTTGGTTTATTTTCACTACGTGTGACTGTGCTAGGCTAGCTACCGCAATTGCCAATTTTTACCTGTGATTTTAACGGAGAAATTTTCGAGGTCTTCAAAGTTCCTGTGAAATGGTCACACACGAATTGTCAAACTCTTATTATATCCATATACTCCGATTGGAAATTTGTCTGAAAATACCCTGTATACTAATTGTATCATTTCCTATTGTATATTATATTTATATCTAGCCCGCATTCCTGGATATGGTGATTATTCATATAAACTACGCAACACTTATTTTGTCGCACCCCAAAATTTTGCCCCCCTGTTAAAATACAGTGTGACCCATTTAAAATAGAACCACCCCTGTATCTTACGTAATCGTTGGGTAAGGATCCTGAAATTTGCTGGAGCGAGAGACCCCAAGTGGGGTCATCTTCAGTGATATACACTGCTCGCCAACAGCCATGAAACCACCCCAATTTCCGGAAAATGATATTAGGAGTCAAAATAGGTTGAAAATCAAGTTACTAACTATTCGAAGTTTTCCTAGAAGATTTTCAGTTCAGTAAAATTAAAATTTGTCTCACTTCTCATGGAAGCACCCCCGTATCTCACGTAATTATTGAGGTAAGGTTCTGAAATTTCCCGGAGGAAGAGAAAGTCCAAAGATAAAGTCAATTACGTGAGATACGGGGGTGCTTCCATAAAAAATGCGACAAAATTTCATTTTTCCGAACTGAAAATTTTCCAGGAAAAATTTGAATAGTTAGTAAATTGGGCGTCCTGATTTCAAATCTGAAGTGATTTTCGACCTATTTTGACTCCTAATATCATTTTCCGGAAATTGAGGTAGTTTCACTGAAGATGACCCCACTTGGTCATAGAGTGCATTTTTGGTATATCTCTCGCTCCAGCAAATTTCAGGATCCTTACCCAACGATTACGTAAGATACAGGGGTGGTTCCATTATAAATGGGTCACACTGTATGAATATTTTTTTTCTTCTTTGAACAATTTGAATTCAGTTCACACTGTTCGCTAGCCCAGTCCATCAGCTATAAGCTCGTACTTCTTTAAAACATGAGGTTCTTCATATAAACTCGCTACAGGGTGTCACCTGAAACTGTGAAAAATTTTGGAATTCTCAAAAGGACCCCAAATAAACAAAAACTTGTTTTTTCAACTTTGACAGCAGACTACCTTGGGACATTTCTCACATTGTCTCATTATCTCTTCTACTTACAGAGTGATATCAAAAAATTAACTTTCAAGTTTTGCAGTCATAACTTTTTTCCTTGTCAACCGATTTTTGAAATCGCAAGTTCATTCTGAAGATGAAACTTCAGATGAAGAGATATCAAGATCAGAAGTGAGTCAAGATGAACATTGCACTGTGTGTCTCACTTCTGATGAAACCATCCCTGTATCTTTATCGTATTTGTTAGGATTCTAAAATTTGCAGGAGCGGTAGATATACGTCTGTCCAAGATAAGGTTGAACAGCATGGGGATCTCGGAAACGGTAGGAGATACGAAGTCGTTTAAATGGGGAAAAAGTTGCGCATTCGGAGGCAAAATTATTTTTAGTTTTTGAGTTATATCGAAAAAAGTGAATTTTTGGAATATCTATTTTTTTTCTCCGTTATTATAAGAGATACAGCAAAACTGAGAATAATTTTTCATAGCAACTTTTGATGACGTCCAACGTGGTGATACTGATTTTTTTACGCGACGTTTCGTATCCGTGGAACCATCATCAACTTTTGTTTTTCAAACGCGGTCCTGATAATTTTTTCACAGATTCTGAAAGATTTTTTC